GTGTCACTGGCTTCTCCTCGGGCCAGTCCTAGATCGCCACTACAGTCAGCTGGAAACGAAATGACCAGAGAACTCTTTCTCAAGTTAAAAAGGCAAAAAACCTCAAAATTGTATAGTTTAAGATATAATTCTGCAGCACCCAACCAACACACGTGAGAATCAGGAAGGGGGGCATAGCCAAGAGGAGAATAAGGGGTGATTTCCTTGTTGGATAGCTAGTCCACTGGAGAGCATGAGTTGAGACCAAACTAGGCAGGGCCGCAGCACCTGTGCGCCTTATATGGACCAGATCAGGGAAGAGCCAGGAAGGGCGGGACTATTCCTACTAGTGTTAACAAAATGGGAGGGGGCGAGAGCCGTGGGGGCTTAGCTGTAGCAGAAGTTGGTACTAGGGGCCATTACTGCAGGTCCAACCACAGAGCCACCTGGAGAGAGCACAACCCAAGAGTGAGAGGGACCTGGGAGGGAAATAGTGGGTTCCCCCTCTTGGGTCAACACTCCCATGGGAGGGCACAATAACAACTAGGACAGGGGCTGGGATGGCTAGACAGAGAGGCACTCAACAGCAACCGTGAGGGCTGGACAGTTGAGCTGTTTGGATGGAACTAAACTCCAATACCCCTCGACATTTACGAGAGCCCAATGGGATATGGAGCAGACTGAACTAGGCTGCTATACATGCTGGCAAATCAGGGCAGGGGCAGGCCAGGTGGGGTTATCGGGGATGGCTCCCACTATGCTGCAGCTCCCAGTGTCTGGTGTGATGGCCGAGTATGTGACGAGCAGAACCAGGACAGACTACAACACCACTGATTCCAGTGGAAGTCGAGGCTCAAGACATAACCAACCCATCAATTGCAACCACCAGCTGATCAGGAGACCAGAGAAGGTCTCCCCAAGAAGCTGTTAAACTTATCTGGACTATAAGATGCTGGACTCTACGCTTGGTATATGCTTGCAATGAAAAAAATCTCAACTGAACTTGAACTGTGATTATGCAATAAGGTGGAGGAATCCACCATGGGGGGAGGGTTAGAGGAGGGGTGGGGGGAATCCCAGGACCTATAAAACTGTGTCATAATACAATGTAATTAATAATTAAAAACAAAATAAAACATTTAAAAAGATATAACTGCTACAACGTTTCCCATTTTTAAAGTCTGTCTACACAAAACCTTTCTAATATACAAACTTAACTTGTCATAAGCAAAACCAGATTACAATTAGTCTTTGTCAAGTAAAAAAGATAAACTGTCCAGCAATAGGATGTCATTGTGGACCCAGTATAATGGCCTTGCATACACTGGGATCCCAAATGGGTGCCGGTTGTGTCCCAGCTGCCCCACTTCCAATCCGAATCCCTGCTGGTGGTCTGGAAAAGCAGTAAAGGACAGGCCAAACTCTCACTGCACTGTGTGAGACCCTGAGGAAGCTCCTGCCTCAAGATCAGCTCAGCTCCAGCTGTTGCAGCCACTTGCGGAGTCAACTTTCTCTCTACAAATTTACCTTTCCAATAAAAATTTTTAAAATGTTTTCAAAAAGGATATCATTGTGGTTCTTGTATTGGTATTATATATATACATTTATTTATTTATTTATTTATTTGCTGAATGCTAATCAATTACTTGGAGCTGCACACAGGAAATTCCAACATGATTGACTTTTAAAATGGGTGGATTCCTTAAGTCTAACACAAACACAACTGCTGAAAAGATTAAACAAGATTACTCAAGGGGTCAGAAAAAAAGACCAACAATATAATTATTCCTCAAACTAGGAATAATCCTAGTTTGGAATAATCCTCTTGGTTTAAGAAAAGGAAGACTCAAACTCGAAGAACTTGAATTAATTATATTACAAGAAAAAAGGGTAGGCCCAGTACAACAGTTACTTCTCCCCCTGCAGGAGCCGAGGTCCCAACAGAGCAGTGCTTTGCGTCCCGGCTGGCTGCTGCACTTCCCGGGCAGGGAAAGCAGCCGAGGCCAGCCCAAAGCCATGGGAGCTGCGGGCAGAGGGAGCTCCTGGCTTCGGATGCGCTCAGCTCCGGCTGTCGAGGCCATCTGGGGAGGGAACCAGTAGACAGCAGATCTTTCTCTCTGCCCCTCCTATGCTCCGTAGATCTGTCTCTTCAACAAAAATAGGTAAATCATTAAAGAAAATTAAAAAGGACAAGAGAAGCCAGCCTTGGAAAAGCAATACGGATTCAAGTGCTTGCCATGACTGCCATCACGATCTCTCAGATTCTGTTTTAATACAAGTTTCTCTGGATTACAGCATTTCACAACATTGCAAATAACATCAGGATAAAAACACCACAAAAATTAGGTCAGAAACAAACATCAGGGGTGGCAAAGGAGGTTAAGCCTCTGCCTGCAATGCCAGCATCCTATATGAACAATGGTTCAGGTTCTGGCTGCTCTCTGCTAATGCCCCTGGCAAAGCAGCAGCAGCAGATGGCTCAGTGCTTGGGCCCTGCCTCCACGGGACACCTGGAAGAAGCTCCTGGCTCTGGCTGCTGTCTCTCTTCGGGGAATGAACCAGAAGAAGGGAGCTCTGTCTCTCTAAGTCTGCCTTTCAAATAAATAAATGACAGAAAATAAAGTAATAAAGAACAAAAAGATCAGGTAACAAAAAATATATCAACCTTATAAAAAATGAATAGGAGGGGTCCAGCGTGATAGCATAATGGTTAAGGGGTCCTCGCCTTGAACCTGACAGGATCCCATATGGACGCCGGTTCTAATCCCAGCAGCTCCTCTTCCCATCCAGCTCCCTGCTTGTGACCTGGGAAAGCAGTGGAAGATGGCCCAAAGCCTTGGGACCCTGCACCAATGTGGGAGACCCGGAGGAGAGGCTCCCGGCTCCTGGCTTCGGATCAGCGTAGCACCGGCCATTGTGGTTTCTTGGGAAGTGAATCATTGGACAGAAGATCTTCCTCTCCTCTCTATCTCTCCTCCTCTCTGTATATCTGACTTTGCAACAAAAATAAAACACATCTAAAAAAAAAATGAATGGGAAGGCAGACTTAAGAGACATAAAAAGGTGGCATTAATTAAAACAAACCACGGACGGGCCCATTGCAGTAGCCTGGCAGCTGAAGTTCTCACTTTGCACGCACCAGGATCCCATACAAACACGGGTTCTAATCTCAGCAGCCCCACTTCCCATCCAGCTCCCTGCTTATGGCCTGGGAAAGTAGTTGAAGACGGCCCAAAGCGTTGGAACCTTGCACCCACATGGGAGAGCCCAAAGAATTTCCTGGCTCCTGGCTTTGGATCAGCTCAGCTCCAGCCACTGTGGCCACTTGGGGATTGAACCATTGGAGGGAATATCTTCCTCTCTGCCTTTCCTCTTCTCTGCCTTTCCAATAATAATAAAAAAAAAATACACACAGAGAGCGAGCTGGCATTGCGGAGCAGTGCTGCTGCCTGCCAACTGGCATTCCACACCAGAAGCAGTCCCAGATGCTCTGCTTCCAATCCACTGTCCTGCTAACACACCGAGAAAGCGGCAGAGGGAGGCCGGACCTTCTCCAATCCCAATGACCCGCAGCGTGTGGACCCTGAACCCCAGGATGGGAGATCTCTCTGCTTTCCAAAAAAACACATAAATCTAATAGGAAAGAGTGGGGCTCCATCCCAGAGACAAGGCCATATCCAGATCTGAACAAATCCGGGGAACTCATGCTGCAAGAGGCAGCTCCAAAGTTTACAGAACATTAAGTAGCAAAGCAAGTGCTCCTGTCCCGTTATCCCTGGAGTCAACAGTCGAGCTCATCTGCAAACAGCAGCGCACAGGGCGCAGCACACTGGGGCCAGCAGGCCTCCTGGGCAGGTAGGACTCAGCCGCTCCATCAAGTCACAGCGACAGGGGCTGAGCGCCCAGCCCTCCACCAAGACAACTAACGGAGATGAAAACACACATACTTACAGGGGAACACCAACCACGTCCCAATCCCCAGCCAAGCTCATAACTCCATACTTAATCCACAAGGCATAGGAAGATTTTAAACAGATGACAAAGAGCCAGGTACTGACAGTCACACAGACGTTGGCTGGATCCATCTGTGCGTGATTCCGAAACGGGCAGAGGGCTTTCCTAAGGCAGGTGGCAGTTAACCCCACGGACAGCACACACACGCTGCTGACGCCCCGACTTTCAGTACTCAACATGGGAGAAAGGTGTCACTCGAGCAACAAGTCCCAGGAGGTGACACTTGTCCATTGAGACCACACCAGGAAGCTTCAAGCCCTTCGGCCACAAGACAAACCCAAACACTCCCACGCCCCGCACGGGCTCCTCCAGTCTGCTGCTGCTCTTGGGGTCACCGTTCAGGCCCACAGGTCCCCAAAACCGCCGGAAGCGGGAGAGCCTCCCACTCAGGGCCCAGGGAAGCCGACAGGAAACGACTGGGGGTCATCCTCCTCCCACAGCCCCCCAGGCTCGGCCGCCGGGATTCCATCGGGGCCCCTGTGCGTGTGGGTGGGACACCAGCCCGGACCCCACCGCCCTCCTCGGGGCGTCTGACAACGCTAGCTGGCTCGGGCCTGCTCGGCCTTCGGGTGTTTATATCTGAGGCGACTGTTTAGACGTGAACTGGGCCAAGGCCTCGAGGAGCGCCTCGTGCGCGCCCGGCACGGCGGGGGCGGAGGGCGGCCTCCCCCTCGGGAGCCCGTCTCGCTCGGGTCCCGAAGGCGTCACGGCCTGGGAAAACAGCCAGGCCTCGAAAGGCCCGGCCTCGCGAGCGTGCACTGCTCAGCCCGGGCTCCCGCCTTCCCCACATCCACAGGCTGGGACCGAGTTTCCCGCCCCTCGGCCAAATCAGAGGTTGGTGGCAGTTGCAGGCAGTTGGGACCGGCCCCAGCAGGTTGGAACCGGTCTGGGCCGGGCCGGGGGAGGAGGGGGGAAGGGAGAGGCCGCCTCGCGCTCTCCCTGCGCGCGTGACTCACGCTGGCCGCTGACGTCAGGCGTGCGCGCGCGGCGGGGGGGGCTCTACGTACGTGTAGTGCTGCGGTTTCTCGGGCTGTGCCTGCAGCACCTGAGCGGTAGCGGCCGGGGGCGCCGAGGAAGCTGCGGAGCCGCCGGGCCCGGGGCCCTTCGACATGGTCCTGTCTTCCTGCCTCTTCGCCGCTCCCCTTTTATTATTCAGTCTGCGCGGTCCGCGCCGAAGGCCCAGTGCGCCTGCGCCGCGCCACGAGAACGTGAAGACCCCCCGCACGGCAGCAAGGCTTGCTGGGAATTGTGGTCCTGTGTCTGGCGGGAATTTTACCGCCGACAGAGGGCCGCTGCTGAAGCGTTGGACTACAATGCCCAGAGATGCGTGCGAGCCGTGTCCCGGATGGTGGGAGTCCGCGACGGCTTCTGGGAATTATAGTCTCGTCGCGTTATCCCCCGCCTTGTCAATGGTGCATTTTTGGGTTCGCAGAGGGGAACTGTTGGTTGGAACTGGAGCTCCTGACGTGGAAGTGATCCAGGAACGAGGAGTGACAGCACCTACGTCACTAAAACAGTTCCAGGGGGGCAATTTCCCTGCCAACAGTGTAATCCTTACCTGGGCTCTACACTCTGTGTACCTGGACACAGTTGTAATGCCTTCACCCGTGAGTTTAAGGATCTGTCCGGTCTCCCAACACCCTCAGGCCCTCACGGCGGGACTCCCCGAGGCCTGGCTACAGATGGAACTGCTGTGTTCCCACGCCCCTGCCCAGGCACCGAACCTTGGCCGTGCCTGTACCTGGAGCCCAGGACTGGAGTAACTAGCCCCTGGCCTGTCAAGTCTTAATGTTTGGAAAAATATCTTCCTGCACCGCCCCAACACCCGACCCAGTAAAAGAAACCAGTTACCCCTACACCAAGGCCAATGATTCTGTGAGCCTTCAAGCATTCCTGATTTTTGTTTGTTTATTTGCTTCGTTTTCCATATTGATTGTATCCCAAATCCATTCTGTGTGGGTTTGTTTTTTTTTTTTTTTAAGATCCATGTAAATCTTATTAGATGAGAAGAGATTGTACATTTGGCTCATTAACAACGTACATTCCAAATAACCTTAGGGGCAGGTAGGGTGGGGCAAGTGGGAAATTGTTTGATATGTATTTCATTCAGTCCCAAGTCACCTCACATTACAAGCCAAACTGGCAGCTCACATAGTTGAGGAACTGGTATTTCTCTAAGCAGGCCAACCCACTCGACCAGCCATGGCGGACGCCCAGTGCTTGGGTATATTCTTCGTAAAACATGATTCAATTGAAGAAATACACCCCTCAGCCCTTCGCTGTCAACCACCGATGGATCCCTCAGGTGTCAGAAAAACTGTCAGGAGAACTGGAGGAGAGTATCATTGAAGCTGCTGAATTTCTAACAGGAAACCAAAACTTAGAGAAGTTAAGTGACTTGCACAAAGCTACCCAGCAAGTCCGTCCACGAAGGAAAAGCAGCTAGGCTGGCCGCCTACACTGCGTGACATGCGGCATTGTGCTGTGTAGACACTGGCCAGTTCCCCCCCCCCCATCACCACCACACACATGCTTTCTGTATTGTTTTTTGTCCTCTGTATGGAAAGGAAAGAAAAACAGCTGTGTGACCAGCAAATAAGGACAAACAAGTCCTGCTCACTTTGATTGATGAGTGTACCTCTCTGTCTTCCACAGCACTTTTAATTTATTTCTTTGGAAAAATAAAGCATTTATTTGTTTATTTACTTATAAAGGGCGTGTGTGGGGAGGAGATCCAGACATCTTTCTACTGGTTCACTCTGCAGCTGATCACCATGACCAGTGCTGGTCCGGTAGGAGTCAGGGGCTTCAGCCTGGTCTCCTGAGTGAGTGCAAGGACCCACACACTCAGAACATCTCCCACTGCTTCTCCTAAGCGATTAACAGCAAGTTGGACCAGAAGTGGAACAGCCAGGGACACAAACTGGTATCCATATGGGATGCTGGTATCTCAGGCAGCAGATAGAATGGCTATGCAACTGCACTGTCCCCCATGCCCACCATGCTTTTTATTTCTGTTATCACAATGGGAAGAAAAATGCCTGGCCTGTACTGTTCTTTGCAGACACGGAAGTGACAGGCATTTGATCTTCCAGAAAAAAACAGGGTGCTGGGGAAGAGGGTTCTGCAAAGGGTGGAGTAGTCCCTTCTGCCTTCAGGCGGTTGGAACAGTGTTTCCCCAGAGCCCCCTGTGTGGCCTCCTCTTCCATGGATACAGCTCCCTGTAGCTGAGCTTGGCAGAGAGTCTGAGAACAGAGCCTCCATCTTGCTTTTTCTCCTAAGTCTGACAGGAAGGAGTTACTTTTGCTAAAGGCAAGAATTACAATTGATTCAATGATCCCACGGAATTGAGGATAATTAAATCTGCATTGTGCATATGAAGATTGAGGATGGCTGTGATGTGGCCAGGGATGGGGTCCCTAGCTCCTGGCTTCAGCCAAGGTTCCAGCTATTGTGGGCAATTGGGAAGAGAAGGGAACCGACAATGAAAGATCACTCTCTCCTTCGCAAGTAAGTGGAAGTTGGCCCCGAGTTACAGTTCTCCAACATACGTGGAAAGACAGAGGGCTGGCGTCATGGCAGGAATTCTGAACCACACAACGGGTCAAAGATGTTTCTGTCGGTTTCTTAAATTGTGCCTCCTTTGTGTGTGTGTTTTCTAACTGTTGATACAGAGAACAGACCCTTGTGTGGCAAGTAAGTCTTCGAAGAGTTACTTGCTTGAAAGAGTTAGCCAGAAAGAGAAGGAAACAGGGAAGAGAGAAACAGCACTTCCATTCCTCACTTCACTCCCCAAATGGCTCCAGCAGCTAGCACTAGCCAGTCTGAAGCTAGAGGCCAGGAGCTTCTTCCGGGTCTGCTGCATGTGTGCAGGGTCCCAAGGCTTTGGGCCAGCCTCTACTGCTATCCCAGGCCACAAGCAGGGAGCTGGATGGGAAGCGGAGCACCTGGGGCTTAAACTGGCGGTGCCCACACAGGATGCCAGTACTGCAGGCAGCGGATTTACTCTCTATGCCATAATGCCAGCTACATCACATAAATCCTGATGTGTTTGTATTTGAGTGCAGTAATTCTCTGAGTTGAACGCCATATGCACCTGGCCCTGCTACTTATAAACTGTAATAATTTCAAATATGTGGTGAAACTAGAGTTAGTGTATGGAGCAGAATCAAGCCATTCACTTCTCTGGACTTTGCCTGACCACACTGAACTTAAGGCAGCTCCTTGAATATTATATATATTTGACATACTTGGCAAACTGAACTAGTGCAGTTCCTCCAAGAAGTTTGTTTGGGCAGGGGTAGGGCTCAGCATTTTTACATGGTGGCATGGGTTTGGAAGCCTGCCAGCAAGCTATCAATGGAAAAGTCACCTATTTGGTTTTGTTATCTTTGATTTATATTTGCAGCCATGCAAACACTAGAGTAAGACTCTCTCCCTTTCTAGTTGCAGTCATCTCATTCAGTTCAATTACATGAGTCTAAAGACTCTGTTGGCCAGCTGGTAATGTCATGCTTAACAAGAACAACACTGGGGCCCGGTGCGGTGGCGCAAGTGGTTAAGGTCCTCGCCTTGCATGCCCGGGATCCCATATGGGTGCTGGTTCTAATCCCGGCAGCCCCGCTTCCCTTCCAGCTCCCTGCCTGTGGCCCGGGAAGGCAGTCGAGGACGGCCCAAAGCTTTGGGACCCTGCACCCATGTGGGAGACCCGGAAGAGTCTCCTGGCTTCGGATCGGCATAGCATCGGCTGTTGCACTCACTTAGGGAGTGAATCATCAGATAGAAGATCTTCCTCTCTGTCTCTCCTCTCTGTATATCCACCTTTTCAATAAAAAAAAAAGAACAAAACTGAAATGACATAGTATTTTGTGACGACCTAAAAACCTATGAGAAACACTAGTTCTATGGCTCAATTGACATTTGTTTCTTTTCTTTTTTTAAAAAAGATTTATTTTTATTGGAAAGGTGGATATACAGAGAAGAGAGACAGAGAGGAAGATCTTCCATCTGATGATTCACTCCCCAAGTGGCTGCAACAGCTGAAGCTGAGCCAATCTGAAGCCAGGAGCCTCTTTCAGGTCTCCCACGCGGGTGCAGGGTCCCAAAGCTTTGGGCCATCCTCGACTGCTTTCCCGGGCCACAGGCAGGGAGCTGGATGGGAAGTGGGGCTGCCGGGATTAGAACCGGCGCCCATATGGGATCTCGGGGCGTTCAAGGCGAGGACCTTAACCACTGCGCCATCGCACTGGCCTGACATTTGTTTCTTTGTATCTATTATTTATCCCCTCTCTACTCCCCCAAATAAAAGAACTGCTATTTGATTTTTAAAAATTATATACATGAGATAAAATATTGTACTTAAGAAAACAGTGTAGGACCCGGCGCGGTGGCACAGTGGTTAAGGTCCTCGCCTTGCACGCCCCGGGATCCCATATGGGCGCCGGTTCTATCCCGGCAGCCCCGCTTCCCATCCAGTTCCCTGCCTGTGGCCTGGGAAAGCAGTCGAGGACGGCCCAAAGCTTTGGGACCCTGCACCCACGTGGGAGACCCGGAAGAAGCTCCTGGCTTCAGATCGGCATAGCATCGACCGTTGCGCTCACTTGGGGAGTGAATCATCGGACGGAATATCTTCCTCTCTGTCTCTCTTCTCTGTATATCTGCCTTTCCAATTAAAAAATAATAAAAATAAATCTTAAGAAAATGAAAACAGTGTAGGACCCGGCGCGGTGGCGCAGTGGTTAAGGTCCTCCCCTTGCACGCCCAGAGTCCCATATGGGCACTGGTTCTTATCCCGGCAGCCCTGCTTCCCATCCAGCTCCCTGCCTGTGGCCCGGGAAAGCAGCAGAGGATGGCCTAAAGCTTTGGGACCCTGCATCCGCGTGGGAGACCCGGAGGAGACTCCTGGCTTCGGATTGGCTCAACTCTGGCCGTTGCGGCCGCCTGAGGAGTGAGTCATAGGACAGATCTTCCTCTCTGTCTCTCCTCTCTGTACATCTGTCTTTCCAATAAAAATTAAAAATAAAAAAAGAAAAAAGAAAACAGTGTAATTGGGCCCCGCGGCATGGCCTAGCGCCTAAAGTCCTCACCTTGAACGCACCAGGATCCCATACGGGCACCGGTTCTAATCGCAGCAGCTCTACTTTTCATCTAGCTCCCTGCCTGTGGCCCGGGAAAGCAGTCGGGGACGGCCCAAAGCCTTGGGACCCTGCACCCATGTGGGAGACCCGGAAGAGGTTATGGATCCTGGCTTTGGATTGACATAGCATGGGCTTTTGCGCTCACTTGGGGAGTGAATCAGTGGACGGAAGATCTTCCTCTCTGTCTCTCCTTCTCTCTGTATATCTGACTTTCCAATAAATAAATAAATCTTTCAAAAAAAGAAAGAAAGAAAGAAAACAGTGATTGCCTGAAATCCAGTCTGCCTTACACTACATGCTTAATCAACATGTTAGGAAAAAGTAACTATCCAGAAATCACTTTCTGTTTTACAGTGGAAAATATTTACAAGACTTTCGTTAAAGTAGCCTCTCCTCCTGAACTACAATAGTTTGTCGGTCCTTCTGTCTCCTTTGCGGACTTGGTAAAAGCCTTGACAGCGACCAAACGCCAACCATTTTCATCAACTTTCTATTGTGGAGCTTTGGAACCAAGGGAAGGATCCAAACATAGCTTCATTTCGTCCAATCAGAAGAGCCGCTGGCTGCTAAACTCTGATTCGTCTATTCCACTTTGTACTCATCCAATCACGCGGCCCCTTTAGCATCCAATCAGAGGCCCGGATGCCAGCCAATCAGGGCCCGGGGCCGAAGCACGGCCTTTGTGTCGGGGGATGTCAGCGCGTCGGCGAGTGCGCCAGCCAATAGCAGAAGTCGTTGGTGTATGCAAATGAGGGCGCTGTGACGCAAGCGCGCAGCGTGAAGCGTCGGTATAAAAAGGCCGGCGTCGGGGGGGCCAGGAGCACAGAGCGGTTTGGTCGTTGGTGCGGAGCCCGTCGTTAGTGCTCTCGGTGCTCGGCGCTCGGCTCTGCGGCTCCCGGGAGGCAGCGGCTGCGGCGATCGGAGAGGCGGCCTGAGGCTTCGCGGATAGGTGAGTGTGGGCCGGGGCCGGGGCGGCGGCTGGCGGCCGATCGCCGGGGGGCGGCGGGCTCGGGCGGCCGGGGGCGCGCAGACCCTCCCCGGGCAGGTCCTGCCCTCCCGGGGTGCGCGCTCCGGAAGCGCGTTGGCGGCGATCGGGGCGGAGGGAGGCGGGAAGTGGCTCCTCCCCGCGCTCCCGGGGGAGGCGGCCGCCTGAGTCACCGGGGAGGGGGAGGCGCCGGGCTGCCCGCGGCCATCTGCCGTGCGCCCGACCCCACCCCGGGGAGGAGGGGACCCCGCGCCCGGCGCCGCGCCCGACCTACCCGTGTGTCAGGCTCGAGACAATGGCCCGGACCAAGCAGACTGCGCGCAAGTCCACCGGAGGCAAAGCCCCCCGCAAGCAGCTGGCCACGAAGGCCGCCCGGAAAAGCGCCCCCTCGACCGGCGGGGTGAAGAAGCCGCATCGCTACAGGTAGGTCGCGGGCCGGGAGGGACGGGGAGGCCGCGCGGCGGGGTGCTCGGCGGCCCCGCTGACCGCCCTGCGCCCCAGGCCCGGCACCGTGGCGCTCCGGGAGATCCGCCGTTACCAGAAGTCGACGGAGCTGCTGATCCGGAAGCTGCCCTTCCAGCGGCTGGTGCGGGAGATCGCGCAGGACTTCAAGACGGACCTGCGGTTCCAGAGCGCGGCCATCGGCGCGCTGCAGGTGAGGCCCAGCCCGGCCGGGCCCGGCGTGCGGCGTGGGGTCGGGGCGCCCCGCCGGCAGGCGGCTCACGCCGGCTTCTCGCCCTCCGCAGGAGGCCAGCGAGGCGTACCTGGTGGGTCTGTTCGAGGACACGAACCTGTGCGCCATCCACGCCAAGAGAGTGACCATCATGCCCAAAGACATCCAGCTGGCCCGCCGGATACGGGGAGAGCGAGCCTGAGTGGAGGCGGTTTTTATGGCGTTTTGTAGTAAATTCTGTAAAATACTTTGGTTTAATTTGTGACTTTTTTTGTAAGAGATTGTTTATAATATGTTGCATTTGTACTTAAGTCATTCCATCTTTCACTCAGGATGAATGCGAGAAGTGACTGGTCTCGGGCCTCGGTCACAGGCTGGGGTTGGGGGGACACGCTGCTCATGCGCAGAAGGGATGGGTGAACTTCCTGCTTCTCATGATGCATGTTTCTGTATGTTACTGACTTGTTGGGTAGCTATTAAGGTACTAGAAGTGATAAATGTGTACAGGGTCCTTTTGCAATAAAACTGGTTATGACTTGATGCGAGCGTTTAGCAGTTGGGGCTGTTAAGTCTGACCATACATCACTGTGATAGAATGTGGGCTTTTCCAAGGGTGAAGGTGCAAGTCTTAACCACAGTGTAACTTAGTTCCTTAAAGAAAAAAAAAAAAGTAAACCTGGCAGCTATAGAATACACTATGTGCATTTATAATAGCTATTTTATATATTGTAGTGTCAACATTTTTAAATTAAATGTTTTGCATTCACAAGTGGTGGGGAGTCTTGTCATTAAGATGTGTTGTAATTAGAGTTGAGTCGGTCTTTCCTGACTAGACTGCACTTGTTTTCGTAGTAGTGAAATGCTTTGTGCATTATACCTTGCATAAGTCCTCATTCTACCACATGCTAACTAACCCTCTAGCTGATAATGCAAACACTAATGGGGAAGTTTTATTTATAAGGGCTCTAGAATAAAGTTACTCGCACCAGCATCATCTGTTACTAATCTGAGCTAGTTAGTGCAGCTTTGCCTCGTGTTGTGGTCGGTCTCGTCAATAGGTTTTCTCTCCTCCGCCAAGAGGAAGCTATGTTGTGGAGTTTTCTATTCTAATCCCGTAGTGTATGCCTGCTGTGGGGGCGGCACCCTGCTCACTGGACCTTTGCCAAGTTAAGATGGTGTCTGGTTAGGCTACATCTGGGTCCTGTCCTGTCTGGGAAAATCACTTTTATAGAGATGGCCTTCGAAGTGGTTTTTAAATTTATCCTTCTATTGAAGTTTTTAGGTCAATTATGTATGTTGACTAAATTTACAAATAAACTTGTTTATCCAACTGAGTGTCAGAAAGCGCCATTGACTGTACACACCTGCTGCTGTGCCCTTCTGGGGGCCATAGATGCTTACGGTTGAGCTTAAGTTACTTCAGCTGTTGCTTGGTGTAGACAGTCTGCAGAGAGCTGTGGGAAGCCGCGAACGGTAGGGTACTGCCACGCGGGCTGCAGGGCCTAAAGCCTTGCCTTACTGTCGGGATGAGGTGTCTGGGAAGTGTTTCAGGTCCTGTGTGAGACTGGCAGGTGAAGCCCTTAATCCCTTTCTGCTGGTGCCCTGGTGGGGCAGCTGGGAGCCCCTGCAGGCAGGGCACAGCCTGGGTGGCTCCAGGGTGCTGAGAGGGTGGTGGGATACTGTAAGGGTAGTGCAAGCTGGAGCTGGTGCAGGTGTCTTGGATGGATGAAACAAGTATGCAGTTGAGGTTCTCAACATTTCTAAGGTCTTTAATGAGATGGGGGGTTGCAGTCCAAAAGCTCTTGGACCTGAGGTAGGAAGGGGGCCTTGCATGAGTCACATCTCCAGCTCCTCCAGAAGTTGCAGGTGCAGAAATAAAGGGGGTGTGGTGGACGAGCTGAGGTGGTTGCGAGAGGTGGGACTCCCCATCCCTGGTGTTGGTAACAAAGGCTGTGGGTGGCTGGGTGAGTGGGCAGGCTTAAGTGGCCTGTGGCCGGGGTGTGCTGGGACCTTTGTCTACTGGGAGGAGGGCTTTGAGGGTCCCTGTTTTTGGTGGATGCACTGGACCTGGGGCTTCTTCCCGGAGTTAGTGCTTGGTGCCATGCCAGTGTATCAGGCAGAGGGGCAGGATGACCTTGGGCCCGTGAGCCCAGAAACCTACTGCAGACTGCTCCTGCCGTCACCTAGCCCCAGCTGTGTCCACCTTCAGTGTTTGGGCAGCTGCAGGATCAACTGCCAGCTCTCCAGACAGTGGGATATGCCAGAAGAGGCTGCTGCAGCCCCTGAGCCAGCAGCCTCACCTTTTGGGTCTGGATTTCATCCCAACAGCAAGGCAGCCAGCAGGTTTGAGGACTGCAGCTCCAGTGACAGGCCCAGAAGATCTTGCAGTTGATGTCTCGGTGGACGATTTGAGGCTGAGGAGGTGGGAGAATCCCCCAGCATTTCAAAGACAGGTGTCAGATCCCACTTGCCCCTGGAGTGGAGCTTGGCACACACCAAGGGTTCCAGGCATGTTTGCTGAGCAAACCAGATGGCCCTGGCAACTCCATAGGACCGTTGGCTGCCTTCCCTCCTGGTGTGGGTAACAAAGAAATCAGTCTAGTTCCCAGGAGCTCTGATTTACAGCCTGGCTACCAGATTGGGGATGTTGCAGAGTACAGGAGCTGGGACTCCCTTGTCCCCACACGAAGGAGGGTCTACATGTTGACATGCGTGTTGAGGCTGTGTGAACATACACTGGTCCAGGGGCCGAGGCAGTGAGTCTTCTCGACGAGTACCTTACTCCATCTGTGCCTCTTTAGTGGGAATAGGAGTAATAAACGCACACATCCACGAGGCTTGCAAGCAGGTAACAAGAATGTTGTGCCCAGATTTTCAGATCCCCAGAAATCTTCAGGAGACAAAACAATCCCAAGTGAACATGGATGGTTTATTCAAGCTCGGCATGTCTGAGCTTGGGTTCTTTGTTGAAAGCAGGCAGCTGGCTGACCGACAGGCCAGCCAGCCGGCCGGGACCAACAGCCCTTACTGGGAGTGTGGCCCTGAACAGAACATTATAGGGTTTTTATAAGGGCAGTCCACAGTAGCTTGAAAAGGGGCAATTCATAATAACCTGCGAGGTGAGAGGAACTGCCACACATTCCCTACCTGTCTCGGCTGGGCAGCCCAGGCCTCCAGCAACTAAGGTAATACCCACTTGATTACTTGGAGCCACCTGTGAGCTAACCAGACTTAGGTGGGCCTTGATTCATAAGAATTGGGGCCCATCAGTGCTAAATGTCACATAGGCTGCTAAAGGTCGCATAGGCCTTTTAGCCTGCAAGCTCACACAGTTTCTTAGTAGCACTGAGCCATGAACAAATAATGGGATTTTGATACTGAGGTTCTTAACATCTGTGCAAAGCTCTCATCTGGTAAGCCCTAGGGATGACCTGAAAAATATTTGACCACGGAAGTCAAGGGTACTGACCGATCACAATTGACCTGGGTGCTTGAGAACCCGTGATAGGCCTCTCAGGGGCCCTCTGTCTGGGCGTGAGCCCGGAGGTCAGGGTATCCTGATAGCTCTTCGTGCTATCACTGTTACAGAAGCAGCCGTCAGCCACATTGCAGAAGGGCAAAGGGCGTCGTGTCGGGAGGCGTTCAGATCCTCTGGGCCCCTTGTGAGAGCAGAGATTTTTGGGGGACAGCTTGGGAGTGGTGGGCCAAGTTCCATCAAGGAACCCAACCTTTGACGGCCACAGAGGCCATCAGATGGAGTGGAGCACGTCCAGGTAGGAGCAACGGGTGCAGAAAAGGGGCTTCAGAAAACATGTGCACCTAAGCAGAAATGCATCCCAGTGCTGGCCCACGTGTCCGCCAGCACAGACAGATGACTTCTTGGTCACTACCTCCAACTGGCACAGGCCAACTCGCCACTGGGCTGGCAACAGTTGTGCTGATGCAAGCATATCCTGGAGAGCAATGTCCCCATCAGGTGCCACCTCCCTCCCAGTCCTGCAACATCTGGCCAGGAAGTGAGAGGAGGGATCAAAGCTCAAAGCAGATGACAACTTCTGAACAAATTGCATGCAAGGACACTCGCTGCGCAGGGCTCACACAGGAGATCCAAGTAAAGGCAGCATTGCCGAGTCTCAAGTAGGGAGCTTCCCTTCAGGCCAGAGTCCAAGAAAAGCAATGCGAGGACCAAGGTGTGTGTGTTCATGGCAAGGGCGTTGAGCCGCTAGGTGGCCCTCTTTCTGGCCATTTGCATGCAGGTGAGTGTCAAGCAGAGATTTTCCATTGCTGGTTTACTCTCCAAATGGCCACAAAGCCCGGGCTGGACCAGATTGAAGCCAGGAGCCTGTGGGTCTCTCACATGGGCGCAGGGTTCCAAGCACCTGGGCCGTTTTCCATGGCTATCCCAGCCCATTAGCAGGGAAATGGATCAGATATGGAGCAGTCAGGAATTGAATTGCTGCCCACATGGGGTGCTAATGCTGCAGGTGGTGGCTTAAACTGACATGCCACAGAGCCGGCCCCTGCTTCACTTTCCACTCCTAGCTTTGACCTGGCCCAGTCCAGCCTGTCATGGTCATCTGGAGGGTGAACCAGCAAATGGTAGAGGTTCTCTCTTTCTTCCTCACCCTCTCCCTCTTTTTTTGTAATTTTCAAATAAAAACAAGTAGATATTGGAAAGTGTACTAGTCTACTTATTTACAATTTTCAGTTATTTGAAAAGCAGGCAGCCAGGAGCTCGACATCCAAAAGTGCCATGCAGGGCCTGGCGGCGTGGCCTAGCGGCTAAGGTCCTCGCCTTGAACGCACCGGGATCCCATATGGGCACCGGTTCTAATCCTGGCAGCCCCACTTCCCATCCAGCTCCCTGCCTGTGGCCCGGGAAAGCAGTCGAGGATGGCACAAAGCCTTGGAACCCTGCACCCACATGGGATACACAGAAGAAGTTCCTGACTCCTGGCTTCGGACCGGCATAGCATCGGCTGTTGCACTCACTTGGGGAGTGAATCATCGGATGGAAGATCTTCCTCTATGTCTCTCCTCCTCTCTGTATATCTGACTTTCCAATAAATAAATAAATCTTGAAAAAAAAATAAGTGCCATGCAGATAGGTGGCAGGATGGTGAGCTATCCTGGCTGCGTCCCAGGACAGAGTTGTAGGAAGCTGGAGTGAGGACCATCACCAAGACACAGACTCAGGCGTCCCACCTGTGCCAGATGCCCATGCTGGGAGACTGAGAGCCATGGTCAGGGGACCGTGACCTCTCACGGGTGCTGGCCCAGAGAACCCCAGTCTGACCAAATGCCACTCAAGGCTGCTTCTGCTCCGATAATGCAGAATAAAAGCCATCACGGGGGCACAGAATCTTCCCCGGCGCCACCTGCTGTGACCACTCTGCCCACGCAGGTGCGAAGCGCGGAGCAGGGTAGTGCAGCCAGCAGCTGTGTCCTGGGGAGCGCACCGCTAGCCCGCAGCCCTGGTCGCGGGCGGGGCGTGCGGCGGGGCGGGGCCTGCAGGCCGGGGGCGGGGCCTGCAGGCCGGGGGCGGGGCCTGCAGGCCGGGGGCGGGGCCTGCAGGCCGGGGGCGGGGCCTGCAGGCCGGGGGCGGGGCCTGGGGGCGTGGCGCTAGGGCCCCAGCCCAGGGGCGCGCCGGAATGTGCGCACTGCCGCGCGAGTCCCGGCGCACAGCATCCCGCGCCGCCGGCCCCCTCGTCGCACACGAGCGACATGGCTGCTTCGAGACATCCCCAGGTGGACGAGCTGCTGGCCGAGGCCCGGCGGGCCTTCCGGGAAGAGTTTGGGGCAGAGCCGGAGCTGGCCGCGTCAGCTCCGGGTCGCGTTAACCTCATCGGGGAGCACACCGACTACAACCAGGGCCTGGTGTTACCCATGGTGAGGGGCTGCGGAAGGGCCACGGGCGGGTCTCGGGATCCGGGCGGAGGGACGGGCAGAGACCTTGGCGCGGGCTGTCCCCCACGTTGGAAAGGGAGGAAGTGACAGGGAGGGGGTGTGCTGACGCTGCTTGGCACAAATCCTCCTGTTGGAGGACTGCTGATCGGCGCCCTCAACACCGCGCGTGTTTCTACTTCAAACGTGGGGCCGTCGGGGCCTGCCATCGGTCCCATGCTTCAGGCTTAGAATGTGAGTGCAGCCCAGCCCAGCATCTACAGCTGGGGGCCTGGGGACCAGGTCCTGAGCGGGCTAGAGACCTCAAGGTCGGCCAGGTGACTGGGCACCTGACCTCCTGCCTCCCAGCTTTCCATCCAGAGCTCTCAGCCTCTGGTGCATGTTGGGATCACACCACGTGGAAGGCCTCTCATCCCACCTTCCCTGTGGCCTAGCCGCCCTGCCCTATCCCTGGGAGCCCATGCAGAGGGCAGAGTCCAGCCCTGCTTGCTGGCTGCAACAGGCCCCACCCTCCAGACCCCAGGGCCAGCTCAGCCTGGAGCCTGGCCCCTACCCTCGGCCCACACCTCATTCCCTTCCCCTCCTTAGCTGGCTGAGCCCTGAGGGGCTGCCTCACACCTGCCGGGTGGGTCCTGCAGGCACTGGAACTGGTCACGGTGCTGGTGGGCAGCCGCCGGGAAGATGGGCTGGTCTCCCTTCTCACCACCTCCAAGGACGCTGATGAACCTCAGCGGCTGCAGTTCCCTCTGCCCACCCCCCAGAGGTCCCTGGAGCCTGGGACCCCCCGATGGGCCAACTACGTCAAGGGAGTGATTGAGCACTACCCAGGTATGGGCACTGGACACCACCAGTGTCACCTGCTACTTCACTCTGATGCCCTAATCAAGTTCTAGGACTTGCCCTGGGGTTGCCTGGAAGGAGCCAGTTGGACCCCAGACACCCAAACTAGGAGGCTACCTCCCTGGGTTGGAAGATGGAGGGCGCTGACTTGGCAGCTGGAAGGCAGGGGTCTCCTGTCCAGGCCAGCCCATCTTGCATACACATCCCTTCCTTCACAGCCACCCCCCTCCCAGGCTTCAGCGCAGTGGTGGTCAGCTCGGTGCCCCTGGGTGGCGGGCTGTCCAGCTCAGCTTCCCTGGAAGTGGCCACGTACACCTTCCTGCAGCAGCTGTGCCCAGGTACCCTCGGGGTCCCGGTCACCACCATCCCCCTTGCACTCAGAGCTGCTTTCCTCATGGTGGTGGGTGGAGATGGTGGGGGTGAACATTTTGCCTGGAGTGTCTATCACTGGAGTCACCTGCCCCCAACCCCCCCACCTCGCCCTGTGCCACAGACTCGGGGGCAGTAGCTGCCCGGGCCCAGGTGTGCCAGCGGGCCGAGCACAGCTTCGCAGGGGTGCCCTGTGGCATCATGGACCAGCTCATCGCACTGCTGGGGCAGAAGGGCCACGCGCTGCTCATTGATTGCAGGTCAGGGGCCACTCCCTGCTCCCACTGGGCCTCAGGAGCCTATGGAGAGAGGGATTCTGCCATCCAGTGTCACAGCAGATACCCTTCCTGGCCATCCAGCCCCTCTGAGTCCCACTCTGCCCTCAGGTCCCTGGAGACGAGCCTGGTGCCGCTGTCTGACCCCAAGCTGGCTGTGCTCATCACCAATTCCAACGTCCGCCATGCCCTGGGCTCCAGCGAGTACCCTGTGCGGCGGCGCCAGTGTGAGGAGGTGGCCCGGGCGCTGGGCAAGGAGAGCCTTCGGGATGTGCGCATGGAGGAACTGGAGGGTGAGAGCCTGCCGGCCAGGCCCTGACCTGGCAGTACATATGAACCTGAGCCTGCAGCATGCCCCCTGCTCTCCAAGCTTGTGAACTGTAAATGTTTATTTGAAAGGCAAATTTACAGAGAGGAGAGACAGATCTTCCATCTGCTGGCTTACTCCCCAAATGGCTGCAATGGCTAGAGCTGGGCTGGTTCTAAACCAGGAGCCAGGAGTTTCTTCTGGGTCTCCTACACGGGTGCAAGACCCCTTGGGCCATCCTCTGCTGCTTTCCCAGGCACATTAGCAGGGAGCTGGATGGGAAGTAGAGTAGCCAGGACTGCAACTGGCCCCATAGGAGATGCCAATGTGCATGTGGAAACCTAACCTATTATGCCACCAGCTCCTCTTCCCAGTTTCTGATCTAGCATGGTTACCAGTTCTCTCCTCAAATAACTGCTTACTGGCCCACCAGGACCCAGGTCCCTCACAGCCCCCGCCCACACAGCTGGCACCCCTGGGCAGTGGGGAGCCTCTCTGCCGACCTTCTGTCCACAGCTGGCAGGGAGCTGGTGAGCAAGGAGGGCTTCCGGCGGGCACGGCACGTTGTGGGTGAAATTCAGCGCACTGCCGAGGCAGCGGCTGCCCTGAGCCGCGGGGACTACAGAGCCTTTGGCCGCCTCATGGTGGAGAGCCACCACTCGCTCAGGTGAGACCTTCTGTCCCTCCTGCCCTCCCTGCACTGAGTTCCCTGGACCTGCCCCTCCCACGGCTGCCCTGCAGGGATGACTACGAGGTGAGCTGCCCCGAGCTGGACCAGCTGGTGGAGGCTGCGCTGTCTGTGCCCGGAGTCTATGGCAGTCGCATGACGGGCGGTGGCTTTGGGGGCTGCACGGTGACGCTGCTGGAGGCGTCCGCCGCACCCCGTGCCATGCAGCAGATACAGGTGGGCTAGGGTGGAGCTGGTGGGGCGGAGGTGGATTCCGGGCCCACCCCGCACTCACGCCTTGCCCCACCTCTCCTTAGGAGCAGTACAGCAGGACCGCCACCTTCTACCTCTCTCAAGCAGCAGATGGGGCCAAGGCGTTGCACCTGTGACTGTAGCTGGCGGGTCCCACCGCTGTGCCTTGGGCAACTGCCCAGCCTCCCTGTCTGGGTGCTTAATAAAGCCCTGCCTCCCACCACAGTACCCACCTGCCTCTTGAGGTGGGTGTGTACCTTGGGGGTCAACATCGCTCTCTGACCGCAGGTCACTGGTGCCTTGGTTCCCCGAAAGAACAGACTATAGTTCAGAACAACACGGTAGCAAAGTTTTTTCATTAAGGGCAGAAGAGAGGCTGGACCCTGCTCTTTGGTTACAAGAGGGGCTGTGTCCAGAGAGTGGGGGAGGCAGTGACGGGGCACTTGTTGTCATGTCTCCCAGAGGCATGCCGCATTGATTGCAGGTCAGGGGCCACTCCCTGCTCCCACCTGGGCCCGGAGTCTACCCGCACGCCTCCCATGCACTCCCTGGTTTGTGGTTGGAGAGGCACGGCAGAGGAGGTGCAGCGAGTCCAGGCCGCTATGGGGTGAGCTCAGGAGTGGAAGAACTGCTGGTCTACCTGGGCACTGGTGGTCAGTGTCCTGCTTACAAACTCCTGAGTCACGTGCCGGGTGAGGGAGCCACTGGCCTCCAGGTGCTGAGACCCCAGGGCCAGACCATCTGCAAGGGAACAGGCATTGATTGCAGTACCTGGGGAGGGGGTCCCTGCCCAAGCCAGGGTCCCTCGAAACTCACCCATGAGGAATGGCTCCGTGGTGCTGGTGTGGGTGGAGGTGACAGTGCTGTACTCGCTCTGCAGTGGGTGTTGGAAGAGGCCAGCATGGCTACCCAGCTGTGGGAAGGGGCCTGGAGCAGGCAGAGCAGCTGGTCAGGTCAGGGACAGCCCAGGAGATGGCCTGGCAAGGGTGGCAGGGGGGACAGCACCCCACCTCCATCTTGGGACTCGATGGTGATGATGCCCTCTCGTTCTGGCCCGAAGCCCTCGGTCGTCCTGGCCTGCACCTTGAACTTGTAAGGCACGTTCTCGCTGAGGCCTGGCACGGTCAGTCGGCTCTCGGGGTTGTCTCCATCCACCCGGAATGTGGTGGCTGGACCTGTGTGGGGAAGGAGGGGAGGAGGCGGGGAGACACCATTAGCCGCCCTGGCCTTCCCTCCTCCCCCACCCCTGTCTAGCCACCCCTGCCTAGTGGCCAGGCAGCACCTCCTCCGTGGACAATCTCGCAGGTCACCAGGTAGCCGAGGATATCTCCATTGGGCCTCCGTGGCCGTTCCCAGCTCAGCTGCAGGGAGTCTGGGCTCAGGGCCGTGAACACCAGTGGGCCTGGGGCACTGGGGGTGCTCAGGGTGAAGGTGGAACCTGGGGGGCAGCAGCGGGGGGAGGTTTTAAACAGGAGGTATGCAGTGAATGCCCTGGGCACCAGCCAGGGGGAGGGGAGGTGGCTCACCTGGCAGGGGGCAGAGCGGGTTCTGTGGGTGCACCTGTGACTCGATGGTGATGATGCCCTCTCGCTCTCGGCCCCAGCCCTCCTGGCTCTGCGCCCGCACGCGGAACACATAGGAGTGGTTGGGTAGGAGGTCTTCCACCACCACTGATGTCTGCTCGGGGCTGGGGATGGTGAGCTGATGCACTTCCCCTGCAGGGATGGGAGTGGGGGTAGGGGTGAGCGCAAGGCCACAGAGCAGTGTGACCCCTGATGCCCAGACCACCAGGGCTGGCCGGGACTTGTGTCTGGGTTGTCATGGGTGGAGGCGCAAGCTGTGCGCTACAGAAGCAAAGAACAAAGCCTACAATGCCAGCCCGGCCTGGGGCAGATCCTGGGCTTCAGCTAGGGGTCTGGGGGCCACAGGTGTCACTCCCAGTCCCCACAGAGTGCTCTGGCTCTAGCACAGTGAGGCAGGACCAAGCTGAGGGAATGATCCAGAAAGAGTCCGAGGAGATGGAAGGAGCCTCTGTACAGAGGAGAGGTGATGCATGGGGGTGGGGAGGGCAGGTGGGCCTCACCGCCAGTCAGCAGCTGGTACTCCACGCTGTAGCCCAGCAGTGCACGCTCACACTGTGGCTCTTGCCAGCTCACTTTCAGCGACGTGGGCCCCAGGGCCGAGAATACCAGGCGAGTGGGTGTGTCGGGCACACCTGCCATCAGGCGTGAGTCTGTAGAGAGGAGACTGGAGTCAGCCCAGAGCAGGGGAATCCGGCGCAAGGCCCAGGCCTGGCCCCTGCCTGGCTTCTGTTCCTTGGCACATGCCACTGAGCAGCTCCCTGTCCTTCTGCCTTGTGGTGAGGCTGCCCAGCCAGCACCTGTGCGTCCCTGGAGCAGGTGGACGGGCCCTGCCCCCACCCGACTGCATTCAGCGGGCCCACCCAGGAGATCCTAAAGTGGGTTAGGCATCAGCGCAGATGCAGGCTGGGCGAAGAGTGGTGGTTAGCGCCTGTGGGGTGTCTGGATGGAGTGGCAGGTGAGGTGGTGGCTGGCGAGGAGTGAATGGCAGATGGAGCAGCCGTAAGGGAGCCAGGGTGGCTGCCCTTGTACTACCTGGACCCCGGGAGGGTGCTGCTGGCTGCCCAGCCAGGATAATAGAGTCTCGGGAACCCCTGGAGGGGAGGCGCCCCTTCAGCTGAGCACAGCTCTGGGCCCCCAGGGACCAGGACAGCGGGAGCCTGCTCCTCCCGTGTTCCCAGATGGGAGGGAGGCCTAGGACAGGAGGAAACAGAGTGAGAGGGGGTGGGGACCTCCGGAGCTGGCAGGAGAGGAGATGGGTTGCTAGGTGAGACAGCGCGCACCCTGGGAGGAGAGTGAGCTGAGGGTGGAGTAATCCCGAGGCAGTGTGGCCGTGTGCGAGTGCTCCGTGCGGGTCAGCGAGTGGTAGTCCCGCGTGAGGGTGGAGGAGGTGCTGTGCACGCCCCGGGGCAGGTGAGGGCTCAGGTGGGTGCCATAGCTGCTGGTGGCTGTGGTCATCCTGTGCAGGGAGTTGGCGCTGCCCGGAAAGGCAAAGTCCATCCGGCCGTTCACCAGGTGTTCTGCAGGGCGGGGTGGGGGGAGAGCAGGGGGCCAGGTCAGAGCCTGGGCCTCGATGTGAACATGCCCAGGCCCACCAACACCCGGCTCTGTGTCTCTGGAGGCCTCCAAGGGGCTGCCCGCCCCTGGCCGCAGCTGCTGGCCCCGATGTGCGGTCTGAGCTCAGCCAGCCTTGCCCTTGGGGAGGCTGCGTCCTAACAGGCTCACTGCCCCTGGGGCGCCTGCTTGGAGAGAGCCCTAAAGATGGCCCGAGTCGGGGCACCGCGGATACCCAACCCCAAGCCCCCAGACAGCTGACACGAGTGTCTGGGCAGTCCTGTCACCTCCGGGGGGCCGGGGCGTCGCGCAGCGGGGCCGGGGGTCCCCCTGCCCGTCCGCGCCCCCCTCGGTGGCGGCGTCGGAGGAGGAGCGCCCGCTGCTCGCCGACAGGCGCGGGATGAGCTCCGGGGGCAGCCGCCACGTGACGCGCCGCAGGTCCAGCTCCGCCCCCAGCACGGGCTCGAAGTTCCAGCCGCCTCCGCCTTGGGAACAACGAAGGGCCGCGTTGGCACCGCCGGGGGGAGGCGCCGGTTCAGGACGGCAGCGCCGAGGAGGTCGGGGCGCCGGAGAGCCAGGGGTGGAGGCGTGCGCCTATGCACACCTCGGGCCGAGACCTTGCCAGGGCCTGGGGCTCCGGACCAGCCGGGAAGGGCGGAGCCTGGCCCGGGGGCCAGTCGGGAGGTCTCCCGCCTGGCGCCTCAGTCAATGTGCCCCTGCCTGCCCCTCTGGGGGATAACGAAGCGGGTGTCACCGGCAGTATGCGTGGCTGAGCTGAGGACCCTGGTGCCTGCACCTATCCCCTCACCAGAGACTCAAAATGCAGCCCTTCTCCCAGCCCAAGGCAGCAGGTGTGTGGGACCCTGAGGCGTAGGCAGACATGGCCACAGATACACATGATGGTAGCTGCAGCCCATTTCACAGATCAGGCAGCTGGGACCCAGAGAACCAGCGGGACACTCCAGGAAAAAAGAGCAGGGTCAGCCGGCTTGGCTCCACCTCCGTGCCGACTCCACCCCAGGCCTGCCGGGCAGCTGCCTGCCTTCTGTCACGTAGGGCTCTCCTGGGCCCTGGCCCTGCAGCACAGCTGGGAAGCCAGCACATTGCACCGCTGTTTCCTGGGCAGGAGCCAGCATGCAGCTGTCCCCTGGGGCACACACACAGCCTAGTGCCCTGGGCCACAGACCTGCAGGTGGACCGTGTCTGTTAGGTCATCTCGGTGCACACAACACCATGACCCCGAGCTCCACAGCCACCCAGCCAAGGCAGGGGACGGACCTGCGGCCTTGACCTGCGTGTCCAGCAGTCATCAACCCTTTTGCCAATCGGCACCAGGACAGCCCCGTCAGCTCCCACCCCTTCCTCTCGCGCCGGTGCCACTCACCAGTGTCGTCGGACACGCTGGGCCTCTGGCTCCCGGCGGGGGAGCGGAGGACGTCATCGCTGTACATGAGGAAGCTCTCGTAGTCTTCGCCGCCCTGGGCGTCCACGATGGGGATGTCCGGGATGATGGGGACTGCGGGGGGTGGGGGACACGTGAGCCTGGGCCCTGGCCGGGATGTCCCAGTCCCTGTCCATCCTGCATGCCCCTGACCGCCACTCACTGGACATGGGCCGCTTGGGCTGGGTGGCCAGGTTGATGATGGCTTCCCGCTCGGGGCCCCAGCCAGCCCCGTTGCGCGCCTTGACGGTGTAGCGATAGGGCTGGGACTCGCGCAGGTTCTCGATGAGCAGCATGCGGCTCTTGGGGCTGTCCACCAGCACCTTCTTCATGGGCCCAATGGGTCCTGGGAGTGGACAGAGCATATCAGAGGGGTCACCGGGCCCCCCTCCTGACACCAGGAGGACAGGACCAGCAAGCTGCAGCCGGAGGTCTGGAGTCTGTGGCTGCTACGTAACAGGGCCTGGCACAGGCTGAGCAAGATGGCTCTGCTTGGGCGGGAGAATCCTGGGAAGACCAGTTGAGGTGGGAAAGAGGCCATCCTGGGCCTGCAATTCCGGGGTATCCAGAGGAGATGCCTGGAAATAGCATCTGATGGCTACACGCAGCCGATAGCTGCTCCAAAAGACCCGGGCGGGGGAAGGCTCCCGCAGCCACACTGAGGCCCTCTCTGACGCACCGTTTCATGCAGAGAGGGCATACATCCGAGCCCAGATGGCCAGGACTCTGGTCACTCCTGGGTTGAAAGCCCAGTCAGAGGAGCTCTCCTGCTTGGGATCCACAAATGGACTAATACTAAGGGCCTGTCTGCAGGGGACGGTGCTGCCCGGCTGAATGGAACCCTGCACGTAGCCCTGAGAGCCTCACGCTACCCCCTTTCCATCCACAGCAGGTGTGGGGGTAGTGAGAGCTCCAGCTCTGGGAGCAAGCAAGCCCGCAGAGGGGAGGGTGTGGCATGGATCCCTTCCGGGACTGGCTGGTCCGAGGCTGCTGCTGATTCTGCTGTGACCGGGAGAGCCCGTGCAGGCACTGCCTGCATAGTATGGTGTCCGGGGCCTGTCCTGCCTACTGGGCTCGCCTGCCTGGCCTTGGAGCCTGGCCCAGTGCGCAATCTAGAGACTGAACATGCCAGGGTCCAATCTGCCGACCCAGAGAACAGGTGTCATGGGACCCCCAGCTGCCCCGGCCCTCCCCTGTGGCAGTCCTCACGATTGTCCTCGTTGACCAAGCCGTAGCAGACCTCGTAGGCAGTGATCTCGCCGTTGGTCTCCGCAGGTTCAGCCCAGCTCAGCTGGGTCACCGTGGAGGAGACGACATTGAAGGCAAGGCGCCCTGGCTCACTGGGTACTGCGGAGGAGGGGTGGCAGGGCGCGGTCAGAGGATGGAGAGGGTAAGGATGGGCATGCTGGGCAGGGGGAAAGGCGGTCGCCGTGAGCGCTGTACCTTCTTGGTGGGTGCGGCAGGATACCAGGGTGCTGTAGGGGCCCTCGCCCTGTGCCCCATAGGCACACACCTTCATCTCATAGTCGCAATACGGGTACAGGTTGGTGAGTTCCACCGAGGGCACCTTACTGTCAAGCAGGTGAGCTTCAGCCTCGGAGTCACCCTGGATCCAGTACTTTACCTGCTCAGGTTGGGCAGGGGGATATGGGTGGACACTGATCACGCCAGGAGTCCCGTGATGGGAAGAGGGGCAGCCATCTGTGAGACTCAGGTGGGAGTCCTCCCTTGTCCCCGAGCCCAGGTTCACAGGCACACCTGGACATCCCTCCGTCCACCCATGCTTGAGCCCCTGTCCCTCAGGCCTCTTCCCAGGCACTTGTAGTTACCCGTGGCCCCCACCATACCCTGTAGCCTGCAGGCTTGCCGGGAGGGGGCAGCCAATTGAAATGGATCTTCCGAGACCCAGCGGCCTTGGCATTGGGATTCTGAGGGGCTCCCAGGTCGCCGTGAGGGAGCAGGAATGATGACTGGGTCTGACTCACAAAGCCCTGGTCCACTTCGTCTGGTAGTGGAATCAAGGGTGGGGGTGGGAGCCGGCTCAGACAGCAGTCACCACAAGGGGGCGCCACAAACCCGGTTAAACACCTGAGCCCCCATCCAGAGGGCCTGAGGCTGCTGCACCTGCTCTCCAGCCCTTCCCTGACCTCTGCCTCCTCCCTCCTCTTCCTCCGGGTGGTAGACTGGTCCCTTCCAGAAATGCCTCTGTGAGGCTGGTTCAATGGCTGAGACATGGCATGACCTAACGGCTGATCCCGGCCCTCTGCCAGATAAAGAATAGAAGGCCAGGGATATTTGGTTTTCTGTTCTCGGATGGGGTCTAGTGCAGGCGTTGCATGGGACACATGTGCTCCACATGCATGTCACGGGGAACGCTGAGCTTCCCAGGCTTCCTCTGTCCAGTCTGGAGCGCCCCCGCCCCCCCCCCACACACTCCCCAAGGCTCTTCCTCTCCTACTGTCAGCCAGCCCCGGGCTCTGCACACCTTGGTCTCCGATGATGATGGTGGCCGACTGGGGCTGGCCTAGGCGGGCCCCGAACTTGGGGTTGCTGAGTTGGATGTTGAAGCGGCGGTTCTGACGGCCCCGCAGAAGGGAGTCCACTTCCTGAGGTTCCAGAAGTGTCACCTTCAGCTCCTTCCAGGTCTCCCCGGGGTGGAAGAGCAGCTCACCCTCGATGGGGACATAGTCCTGCAGCAGGAGGGGGGTCAAGATCAGAGAAGGAGCGTGGAAGTGGGGGTGACACACAGCATCACGCTGCCCTCAGGATAATGCAGGGACTGCTCCGTCCCTTGGGTACAGCAGTGGCCCCTGTGGACACTGTTACACTGGACAGGCACATGAACTACGGAGCAGCAAGAGGCATCCCGTTGTACAGATGAGAAAACCAAGTCATGCAGAGCTTAGGAGACAAGCCCAGGTTCACACAGGCAGCTGGCTGAACCAGCATTTGAACCAAAGCACCAAAGAGAACGCAAAGAGCTGGCCTCCCACACAGGCAGCCCAGGGAGCTGTCCTCCCCTGGCAGGAGAGAGCACCATGGCGTGGGAATGTGGGATCCAGTCCAAACCCAGGCCCTGCTCCTAGAGAGGGGGACACTACACCTCCAGCTCTCTCCTTTCATTTAGAAAAATTTGGGGCTGGTGAGACACCAGGATCCCATATGGGCATCGGTTTGAGTCCTGGTGGCTCCACTTCTGATCCAGCTTCTTGCTGGTGGCCTGAGAGAGCTGTGGAAGATGGCTCAAAGCTTTGGGACCCTGCACCCACATGGGAGACCTGGACACTCTGGCTCCTGGGTCTAAATTAGCTTAGCTCTAGCTGTTGTAGCAGTGTACGGATTGAACCAGTGGATATATCTTTCTCTGCTCCTCTCTAACTCTACCTCTTAAATGAACATAAATCTTCAAAAACATTATTTTTCTTTATTTGAAATAAAATATCCCCTGCACTAGTTCACCCCAATGCCCACAACATTGAGCCCGGGCAGAGCCAAGAGCCCTGAGACCCAGGTGGGTCCCTCACATGGGTGCAAGGACTTAAGCTTCCTCGCAGGGTGCATATGAGCAGCAAGGACTCTGTACAAAATATGAGCATTCCACGTGGCATGTTGGCCATGGAGCCTGCCCCCATAGGCTTGCCTTAATCTTCCCAGGGTGCCAGGTATGGCTCAACAGCCACTGGGAGAAAAGGTCTTCTCACAGAAGGCCACCAGGTGGCGCTGCGCCCTAAGATTTCCACTCCCAAAGCCCAGGGCGGGGGAACTGGGCACAGAACCGTGTACAGGATGTGGCTGCTTCCAAAATGTCCCACAAAGCAGATCCGACTACACACAGACACAATGCTATGCCAGGCACTCCAGGATTCCTGGATTGAGAAAAAAGCTAGAATGGCCATCATCGGGACACCTGAGCTGAGCAAGAGATGTCAGCTGGCCTGTCAGGGCTGGTGACCACCTTTCTTCCTGGGTTGTGGGGGAGGACCCGGCTCTGCCGAGGGGTTTTCCATGGGGTTGAGGTCCACATGGAGTTGGAATAGCTCAGCAGGCAAAGCAGTGTTTGTGTGTGTACAGATGTCGCGTGATGTCGCGTGCAGCCAGGCCCAGCAAGGAGTGTGTGGCACGGTAGGTTGCGAGGCCTGGTATTGGGTGTCCGGCGTGATGACTCCCTGAGTTACCCGCAGCCCACAGTCAGGTGCCTTGCTCAAGTCCTGGGTTTCTCTCAGACCCCAGCTTCCTGCCGCTGTACACCCGGGAGGCAGTGGGGGACAAGTGGCTCAAGCACTCAGGGCCCTGTCCCCAACATGGCACACTCAGGGTGTTTTGGGCTCCTGACTCCGGCCTGGCCATGGCCGTTGTGGGGATTTGGGCAGTGTCTGCCTTTCAAATGAAAATATATTTTTTAAAAAGGTAGGTTATCTTCGCATAGAAACCTTTAAAAGCCATGCGCATGCGTATAAGCCATCTGGCTAGAGGAGCGCCACAGCAGGTGCCCCGGGCAGAGTGTGGGATAGGCGCCCACGCCCTGACCTTGCACGTGTCTGCATTTAAAGGTGAGACCTAATAAAGAGAATTCTAGAAAATGGCTAAATGCCCTGGCACCGTCCTATGGACATGGCCGAGTAGCTGGGAGCTCCAGGAGAGTGCGGTGGGCACGTTCTCTGGGATTGGATTGACAACACTGGAGCCATGCCAAGGCCACTGTCACCCATGAGAGTCAGTGAAGAAAGTGGGGTGCTGGTTGGGCTGCGGGGTGCACCTGCCTATGGGGTCTATGGGCTGGCGGCGCTGGACTCTCCCTTCCATCGGAGAGGATTTCCCACGGGAATGTTCTGAGCTTACAACGTGTGTGTAATAAGGTCAGATTCCATGTCCCAAGCCAGGCACTCAAAGCAAGTGCGCAGCACGGAAATCGGCCACAAGGCGGCAGCCACAGGCCGCGAGCAGGTCCTGGGGCACCGGCCAGAGAGCACTGGGGCAGTCAGGAGGGGGGTTTGACTTCCCCAGGGGGATGCTGGGTGGTCAGGACCAAGCACGGCTGCAGCAGGAGCAAGAAGCAGGCACGCCCCCCGCCGGGTCCTCAGCAGCAGAGGGTTGATGCGCTTCGGGGAGGGGACGCCCTGTCAGGGGCAGAAGCAGCCAGGGCCACCACCTGCTTCTGCTCTGTCCTGAACCCCTCCTGCGTCTAGCCCCTTACCCGGTTGCCCTTGGCCGTGTTGTCCTGCGTGCGGTATGAGACCTGGGACTTGCCATTGTCCACGATGCGCCGGGTGACAGGAATGCGGACCACCTGCTCCCCGCGGCCCACCGAGTACTCGGGCTGCTCGAAGGACACCACCCCACTAGCTGCAAGGCAAGGGGCTGTCACTCCGCAGAAAGCTGCTCGCCACCCTCACCCCTACAGCTCTCTGGGGAGGTCATGATGGAAAACCCTTCTGGAAAAAGCACTCGGCCAACATCCTGGGAAGGGCAGGGCTGGACAGGCCATGAGGTGCTGGAACAGGTGGGAAAGGTCAGGGGCTGGATAGGGCGCCCTGTCCCCCAGAAGCTGGGGGCACTGCTCTGGACAGAGAGCAATGATGGTAGCGGGGCATGGTGTGTCCCCTCACGGCGCCTGGGACCAGGGCTGTGGAGAGTTGTAGACCCCCTCACCCAGAAGACCCCGGCCATGCCCCCTGACCCATCACAGACCGAGGCCCCGGCCGACCTTGCTCCCTGATGATGGTGATGTTGACCAGGCGGCGGCCCAGAGTGGCTGTGCCCACAGGGACGTCGATGGCTTCCACCAAGAGCTGCTTCTCATCGTCATCGTCTGGCCGCATGAAGAGAGGCACACGTACGTCCACCAGCTCCACGCCCTCCTGGAACTCCACCATGCCCCGGGCATCTGGGCGAGGGGACAGGGGAGCAGGGCCGTCAGCCGGGGTGGGGGCTGGCCTCTGCTGGCGGCGGGGCGAGGTGCTGCCCACCTACCCTGCTCTGCGGTGAGGGTATAGTAGCCGCGGGCCACCTTCAGGTCATGGAAGGCCCCCTGCTCCACGTGCTTTTCTGTCAGCTTCAGCAGTGCCAGCTTGGCTGCGCGTGGTGCCATCAGCACCGTGTCCACAATGGTGTGGTCTTGCCTAGAGGGGTGTGGGGAACGGCCCGATGGGGGAGGGGGCACAGCAGGCACTTGTCCCTGCCCCTCAGCTATGGGGCCTTCGTCCCGTCCCTGGGTGGATGGAAGGTTCTGGTAGAGACCCAGGCACCTGCCCACTGGGCACGCTGGTCTCTTAGTCCTGCTGCCTCAGCGTGGGTGGGGGCGGGGCTCATGCTTTAGGGCAGGGTTAGGATTGAGGGTAGAAACTGGGAGTGCAGCTTTGCCACCTGCTAGTCTTTCTCAGGACCCTGCCTGGTGCCCACAGGTATCCCACCAGGGTCAGGGTTTGCCCGTCCTCAGGTTCTGTGGGCAGACGTTGGAAGGGGGCAGAGAGGGGTTTGTTGACAGTCATGATGCAGGGAGGGACTAACCCTTGACAGGTGCACAGGACCCTCCATTTCTACAGGGTGGGGCTAGGGGAGGAGGGGCCATGCGGCAGGTGGCAGAAAGTGGGACGATCTTCAACTCACTTTTTCCCGGCGTTGGGCTGCTGCCTGTGGGAGACAGAGGGGCCATGAGCCAGTCGTCCCTGGGGACGGAGGGCGGGCACCACCTCCTACACTGGCTCTATGAGTTGCTCTTCAAACTCCTCCGGTCTCCGCCCAGGCCCTGGATGCCTGGCTTGGGGCTGGCAGGACCCAGCACAGCCAAGCGGCCTCCCCCGACCCCCCGTGGCGGCACCCCGGATCTCACCGGAATTTGGTCTGCTGGAGCTTGTGTGCACCTGTGATCTGCCGGTAAACCTCATTCAGCTGCCAGGTAAAGTGAGGCCAGGTAAAGTGAGCTGGGCCCAGGAAGCGCCCAGACTTTCAAGCCAGAGCCTCCCCCTACCCCCGCCAACCTCCCCTCACGCAGGGCTGGCTGCAGGCAGGCCTATGGGAGTCTGAAGACCCAGGCTGTGTTGCCTCCTGCTAGTCTGACAGTCCCAGGGGATAGATGCCCAAGTGGCCTGTGCCAGACGCACATGCAAAGCGCTCGCAGCAGGTACTCCCCATGCCCCAGTCCCACGCCAGGCCCCACGCCCACCACTCTGGTCCTCACATTTTCCTCCACCTCCTGGCGCAGCTGGCTGCACTCCCGTGTATCCGGTTTTAGCAGGTTCTCGGTGCAGAGGCGGGCAAGGCGCAGGGACAGTCCATAGGGCACTGGAGTGGGGAGTGCACAGGTGGGGTCAGGGCACCCCCTCCTGCAGCTGTGCCCTGCACCTGCCCACCTGTCCAGAGCTCTACACCTCCCTGGACAGGACAGGCGTCAAGCCTAGGTCCAGGGTGCGAGTTCCCATGGCACGATTCCCCCCTCACCCAGCTCGCTGGGGTTGGTGCTGGCCGTGTGGGCGGCATGGCCTGGCCGCTGCACGTTGTTGGTGATCTTCCAACGGACCGTGTCACGCCCCTTGAGGTTCCCGCTGCGCAGCATGGGCGTGTCCAGGTGGTCGGAGGCCATGAGGTTCTCCCGCAGCATGTAGTGGTCTTCTTTAAAGCCCACCATGTGACCTACGGGGCAGGGGTCCTCAGGGGTGGCGCCCTTAGAGGTGGACCCGTCCCCTTCCTCCTCAGTTCTGGAGACAGCAGTCAGGGTCCCCTACCTTGGCTGCAACAGGGGAGAAGAGCCAGGCAGGCCTAGAAGACAAGGGGCGGGACTGAGGGCTGCGGCAGCTCCCCCAGTCAGCGCCCCCACCCCCATGGGGGCAAGAGAGCCTTCCAGGCCTGACAGGGACCAGGGGCTTGGGGGACACACCTGGTGGGGATGGAGAGGGGAGGGGATGGATAAAGGGTTCCCAAAGTGTGTACTGCGGAACCCCAGCTCTGCCGGTCACTCTGGGGGAGAAGGGTTCCATGGCTGCCAAACCCATTCGGGAAGCCTCAGATTGTCTGTGTCGGGGCCCGGGGCTGGTGCCCACCTTGCAGCAGGCACAGTACTTGCAGCACAGCAGTAACAGCAGCGCCAGGAGCGGCAGCAGGATCAGGGGGAGGAGCCACCAGAAGTTGCCAGGTGGGCAGTCTATGGGGGAGGCAGAGGAGGGAAACGGTGCCCACCCACACATGCACCCTGAAGCCCCTCACCCCCTCTGAGGCCCCCCGCTGTCGGCCCACCCCCCCACTCACCCTTCTTCCGCTGTACCAACACTGTGCTGTTGGGCCCAGGGCTGCCGTCGCCCTCCACAGTGTAGCTGTAGGTGCAGTCATCGTCCTCGTCCCGGAAGGAGCAGTAGCCGATCACTTCCTCCGCTGTGCGGGACAAGGTGAGAAAGGGCAGGGCAGGGGTGGGGAAAGGGGGCACGGCCCACCCCACCCTGGAACCCTGGGTCTGCCCTGGCGAGGTGCCGGCTCCATTAGAGCCTGTCAATCTCACTGCTCCCCCATCTGGATTGGGGTGGGGTCTGGACACTGACCCTCCCCTACAGGCGGAGGCTGTGACCCCACCCCCCCAGGCCACCTGCCTGTCCCTCTCAGCCTGTCTGCCCCAGCCCTGGTTAGCCCGTGAGCCACAGGCGCTGCACTTCCTCTCCTAGACTTCCTCGTCCCAGGGTCCCCCCTCTGGGCTCTGCAACCCCTCTCTCAGCTTTGGACCTTGTCACCTTTAGTCCCCTCTGCCCAGGTGATCCTGCACCTGCCCTCCTCCCACCCTCCAGCTGCCCCCACTCCCTACCTTTCTTAAGTTCGTCCACCATCTTGACCTTGAAGCTGCACTCCTCACAGGTGCGCCCCTTCTTGGCTCCGGTGCCCCAGGCCTGGCATTGCACACAGGAGCGCAGGTCCTCGCAGAGGCCTAGAGGTATCTGTGTGGGCAGAGGAGGAGGAGCAGGCGGGTACCGTGCTGGGTGAGCCTCCACCAGGCCCTGCCACTCAACCGCATGCCCCACCTCCCAGTGCAGGAGCAGCCCTTCCTGCCCACCCCGCCTATGCCCATAGCCCAGCTTCCCTGGCCTCACCACTGAGTAGTTGATCTCACAGATGGCATCCGTGTACAGTGAGTGCTGGTGGCAGTGGCAGCGACCACACTCGCAGTAACCTCGCCCATTGCAGATACCCTGCAGGTGGATGGATGGAGGAGCCCTGTGAGCCAGCTTGTCCATTGCTGGCTGCTGCCCTCCCCAGTGCCAAACATGACTCCTCTGGACAGATGGCATGGCCCTGGTGGGGGCTCCCCTCGCTGGCCATCCCATCTGCCCTATGCCCCAGGCCTACCCCATTGCTGTCGATACACGTGTCATTGCTGAGGGGACAGTCACAGCTCGGGCCTGTCCAACCGGGCTCGCACACACACTGGCCCATGGTGCAACGTCCCCGATCTGCAGCGGGTGGGACGGGAGAAGACAGCTGACTTCATGCAGTCCAGGCTGCCCGTCTGCTAGCGGGGACGGATGGGGGGCTGGGTTGCCTCCTCACTCTCCTGGACTTTTTTCCTCCTCCCCTCCATCTTGCCTTCCAGCCACTATCCTCTCTGCAGCCAGGGCGACCCTCCCCAAAGCAAACCCAGTGCCATGGCTCCCTGTTAGAACCCCTACTGGGTATTGGCCAATGCAATAAACTAAGAACAAAAATTGAAAATTGAAATCTACATTAATTCAGAGGCAGGAAATCAGACAGTTTGTTCTCTTGTTATCACTACAGGTAAATGGTCAAGTTTCATAAAGGAGCAGGACAAGGTGGTGGACAAGAGAAAAATACAGATAGAGAAGGAAATGGGAGGGCCCAGATCCGAGGGCCCTGGCTCTCTGGCCCTGCTTTCCTCCCCGCTCCCCGCAATGTCTGCCTTTGTCCAATGCCACTGCACCTCCCTCCTGTTCCTCTCCCACCAGCACAGAAGCCAGAAAGAGGACATGGCAGGCAAGAGGAAGGGCTGGGCTTAGCCTCCAGGCTGGGTCCACAGTGGCAGCCATGACTAGGTGGCACCTGACCCATCTGCCTTCAATTACCAGCCTCCCGCGTGCCCCTTCTCAGGGCTCTAATACTTCAGGCCAGACCACATACTCCCAGTCTAGGCCCAGTTCTGTGTGCTGCCCTGGGGGCAAATCGACAGCCCCAGTGTCTGCAGAGCAAGAGTTGCCAGCTGCTGGGGGCCAAGCTCGACAGTCCCTGCCCCAAGGAGACAGGACAGTGGGGAAGGGGGGGGCCAGTCGACACAGACCCAAGCTGGGATTTGGGGTCTTTGAGGGAGGGAAGGGTGAGCACTGGCTTTGCAGTTGTCAGTGCCAGGGTGCTGTGCCAAGCCCCAGGCCAGAGTTAGCAGGTGATGGCTGACGTCACCGGGCCCCTTCCACCCGTGTGGGAGACTTGGCCCCTGGTTTTGACCTTGTGTACTCCCTAGCCACTGCTGAGGGCATTTAGCGGGGTAGTTCTGTGGATGGCATCTCTCTATCTCTCACTCTCTCTCTGCTGCTCACATTTTAAAAACACAAAACAAACCAAGGGGTTTGTCCAAGTGGCAGTGGCCTTGGCCTCAGTGCTGCGGATGAGTGAAGTGAAAGCTTTGTAGAATGGGGTGGGGGCGTCCTGGGTGAGCCTGGACTGAGCTTGGGGATGCTGACCCCTGGCCTGGATAGCCCTTCCTGGGCAGCCTGGTGGCCACACTCACCATTGCACAGCACACCGGAGGTGCGTGGGCACTGCACATTGTCATACTCGCAGAATTGGCCCTCGTAGCGGCTCTCGCCGTAGCACACGCAGCGGCCGCACTGGCACTCGCCCCGGCCCGAGCATGGCTTGTCGTCGCCGTCCCGCATGCAAGGTGTCACGTCACTCAGCGCGCCCGTGGAGCAGTTGCAGGTGCTGCCGCTCCTGAGGAAGGAGCCGGTCATCTCCCTGAGCTGGCAGGAAGCTGGCAGCATTCACTGACCCACTGCACAGATGGGGAATCCTGGACCCTCGTCACCCCCTTGGGGCCCCGTCCTTGTTGCTTGCTTGTCTTTACCACGACGGGCCCAGGGTCGTGGAGCCCAGGAAGCCCTCACCACATTCCCTTTTGAGCTCACTTCTGACCAGGGAATGCACGCACGTGGTCCCTAACGCTAAAGGAACCAAAGGCCCAGAATGCTGAGTCACTTTACTTGTACCCCCCTGCCTGCCCCCAGACGCACCCCAACAGCCACCAGTCCTGCCTGTTTTTCCAGTGATGGTCCACTCGCCACCACACAGGCACCAAGTTTAAGTCCAGGTGAAGCTGAGAATATTGTAAATGGAAAACACACCCTACCCGTTCAGGGTCACACCCCAACTACTCATACCACACCCCAACCGGGTGAAGTGAAGTTTGATTGCTTATTACTCTGGGACCACCCTAAAGAGAAACCTCTTGGGACTTGCATAGTGGCTCAATAAGCTCATCGTCAGCCCTGTGGCACAGGCCTCCATATGGGCACCGGTTCGAGTCCTGGCTGTTCCACTTCCCATCTAGCACCCTGCTAATAGGCCTGGGAAAGCATGAGAAGATGGCTTGAGCCCTTGGGACCTTGCAGAGCTCTGAATTATCCCAGCTCTGGTCATTGTGGCCATTTGGGGGGTGAACCAGCAGATGGAAGACCTTCCCTCTCCTCTGAAAATCTAGTGGAGTGTTTGTTAGTGTGGGAACACTGTGTTCAGATGATTTCAACTGCAGTCACCCAATGACTTAGTGTGACCCCCCTCCCCAGCCAGGCGTGCAGGTGTGCCTGGGGCCAGGTCCCTGCTGGACATCTGGGTGCCAGGCCCCCCCGCCCCCACAGCCACACTCACCAGCCCTCGTCGCACACACAGTGGCCACACATAAAGTCCCCATGGAAGTCACAGCGTGCTGACTGCACCTCCTTCTCCTGCAAGGAGGCATTGAGTTGGGGTGGAGGGGTTGTTCTGGACACTGAGTTATGGAGGGATCTTGGGGGGTGGTTAAGGGGGACCAGGCCACCTGACACTTAGGCCGTCTCAGGGAGGACCAGGCTGAGCTGGCCTCCCTCATTGCACGCAGCAGACCCATTCCATACCAGCTCACAGGCACATTTGTCACACATGATGCCCACGTCCAGGCGGAGGCCGTCAGAGAAGGAAGGCTTCAGGTGTATGTTGCCCTTCTGGTCCTCTTCCGGCAGCTGGCACACAGGCTTCCCATCCACAGCTTCCAGTGCCCGCAACTGTACCTGGTAGGTGCCCTGCAGGGAGGGGTCCCGCAGTGAGCCAATGCAGGCACGGCTCAGCAGCCAGCGGTGCCTCTGGGCTCATCCTTTCTTCCAGGCACAGCCATAATGGCTGCAGCAGCCATGAGCCTCATTAGCCAGCTCACCCATCTCGGCATCTCCCGCCCCAGACAGGTGGCGGTATGGTCAGGAGGGATAAGGGAGCCCAGGCTGACCCTGGTCTGGACCGCAGTTCCAGATCCCTGTCCCGAGTCCCCTGCCCCCACACAGGCATACCACTTCACCCCGCCGGATGTGGAAGGACCCCGTGGCAGTCTTCTGGTACATTTTGGAGGTGACCTCCGTTCGCAGGCCTCGGGGACTGTCCAGGGCTCGGATGTCCAGGTTGGAGCGGATACGCTAAGGGGAGGCGGTACTCAGTGATCCGGGTGGACCAGTGGGGAGCCATGCTCCAATCCCTGCTGCCTCTGGGGGGCCGGCTATGGGCGCCACAGTGGCAGCACCTGCAGGAGACTGTCCCACCCAGGTGGGCTTCTTAGACCCCCAGGGATGGCTAGTGACCCTTTCTCAACCCACCCTGGGGTCTTCAGTAAGGTTACAAAAAGTGCATATTGCAGGGGGGGGGGGGGGAAAGCAAACTTATGCAGGGACTTCCAAATCAGGGCACTAAATCAAGCTTTCTGTTTGTCCATCGGCTTCTGCAACTTTGCCTGCGATTTCTCAGCTGGACACAGCCTGCAAACTCTGCACTGCCTCATCTCCTCCAACCAGCCCTCCAGCCCTGCCCCAAAAGTTTCAGCCCCGTGCCCCCAGGGACCCGGCTCACATTGAAGGCCTCCTCCAACAGCTCCACGATGTTGGATGAGTCCTCCTGCAGCACCCCCAAGGAGGACACGGGGAAGTACGTGTGAAGTTTCTGCGTGAGAAAAGCCAGGCCGCACGCTCAGCATCAACGAGTCCCAGGTGGCAGGCAGTTCTGGGACAAGCCCCTCCTTCGCAGGTGGGCGGCCCTTAGGCCTGGAAGCCTCACAGGAGGATTCCAGAACCTGTCTGATCCACCCCTGGCCACTTGAGGTCCCAGCTGACTAGCGGATGCATGGACACGGGATCTTCACTCCCCGCCAGGAACTGCCGGGGCCCCCCACAAGCTTGAGGATGGAGGGGAGCAGTAGGAGGAAGGCTGTCCAGACTGCGAACCTCGTAGTAGCTGTAGGAGTAGTTGGTGACAGCAAAGATGGGGATGATGTTGTGCTTGGCGAGCAGGCGCACCAGAGTGGGTACCGACGGGTAGTCCTGCATGTTGTACTGGGTGTAGGTGCCCGTGGCATCCAGGTGGCACCTCTCATCATTGCGGCTCATGATGCCGGCCAGCACGTTGGCACCATCGGCTTCGTAGTGGAAGGCTGATTCAGTGGAAAACACCAGCAGGTGGGTGCTGTCTGGGCGCCAGCCGATGGCTCTCTGGGGAGGGCAAGGAGGCGCCATGGAGCAGGTTGCCTGCCCAGGGCTGCATCACAGAGCATGCGCACACTGGCCGACTGTGAGGGTGGGTCCCTCCACGGGGCTCCATGGGCACCACAAGAGTAACAACATGTTCCAGCAGACAGCGTGCAATATGTGGTGATGTGAGAACCAGAAAGCAGTGCTGAGGTAGCAGGCAACGCATGCAGTGCCTGAGTACAGGGCACATGCTGGGCATGCTCTGAACCACCCTCCAGGGATACTTTAACTGCTTGGAAAAAGGTACACAGCAGGAAGTGACCAAAGGCCGGCTAAGCAGGTATAGCCGGGGCTGACACTGTGGTGCGGTGACTTAAGCCTCCACCTGCAATGCCAGCATCCTATGTCAGAGCACAGATCTGAGTCCCGGCTGCTCTAATCCAGCTCCATGCTAACGCACTTGGGAGACCCAGATGGAGCTCCCTCCGGCTCTTGGCTGCTGCCTGGCCCAGCCTTAGCTCTGGCAGGCAATTGAAGAGTGAATCAGAAGCTGTCACGCTGCCTTTCAATAAATCGATCTTAAAAAACAAATAGGTATAGTTATTCACTGCATATTTTTGGAAAAATGCACGGGGTGATTTGGAGAACTGTTACCAGAAAGAGTGCTTATGATTGTTATCAAATGCAACATAAACAGAGCAAGTCTCCAAAGGGAAAGTTTAGGGGCCGGTGCAATGGTTCAACAGGCTAATCCTGCACCTGCAAGAGCCGGCATCCCATATGTGTGCTAATTTGTGTCCCACTGCTTCATTTCCTATCCAGCTCTCTGCTTGTGGCCTGGGAGAGCAGTGGAGGGTGACCCAACCCTTTGGGACCTTACACATATGTGGGAGACCTGGAAAAAGCTCCTGGCTCCTGGCTTCAGACTGGCTCAGCTCTGTCCATTGTGGTCAATTAGGGAATGAACCAGTGATAGAACATCTTTCTGTCTCTCCTTTTGTCTGGAAATCTGCCTTTCCAATAAAAATTAATAAATATTAAAAAATAGAAACTATGTGAATTCCACTGTGTAAATGGAAGAGAAGGGAACAAGACGGGCAGGCAAGGTTTTGGGGTCTGACTGCTTGGTGGGAAGAACACTGTGGGCGATTTCTGCTTTGTTTTCTACGTGGTCTGCAATGTGGCCACTGCATCCAGTACGGGAAAACTGATGTGCACAGCGACCCAGCTTGGGTGGGTCCCAGGAGATTGGTGAGCAGGCTCATCTCAGGGCACTGAAGAAGGTTCCAGAACTCCATGGTTCATGTCTGTTTCATTGGTCCATACAAAAGTAAGCTGTGGGGCATGGCACAGTAGCCTAGTGGCTAAAATTCTCGCCTTGCAACCGCCAGAATCCCATATAAGTGCCAGTTCTAATCCTGGCTGCTTCACTTCCCATCCAACTTCCTGCTTGTGGCCTGGGGAGGGTGGTCAAGGATGGCCCAAAGCCTTGGGGCTCTGACTTTGTGTAGGAGTCTCAGAGGAGGCTCCTGGCTCCTGGATTCAGATTGGCTCAGCTCTGGCCATTTCATCAGCCTCCCACTCTCTCAATAAATCTGTCTTTACATTAAAAATAAATAAATCTTATTTAAAAAAAGAAAAAGCAGGCTGTGGTCCTGTGCCCTGGAGCTTCTGAAGTGACCTGGAATGATGGCTCCACAGAGGGTCTGAGCTCATCTGGGGCCTGCGAGCCTGGTGGGGAATGCAGGGGCGGAGGAGGGGCGGGTAGCTCCCACCCGTGCCAAGCAGCCACTGTCACTGGGGCCCCAGCTCACCGTGCACACAGCCGTCTGCAGGATGGCATCGAAGCCGCCCTCCGGGGCGTCCAGGTTGCCTGAGATCCGCTCTCCCTGCAGCTTGTCCCGGAACTCATTGGCATCCTTGGTCAGGCTGATGACATTCTTGAAGGAGAATGGTGGGTCGCTGTTGGGCCAAGGTTCCTTCAGCCTGTGCAGAGGCGGGAGGGAGGGAGTGGACATGAGAATGCTGAGCATGTACAGGGTGGGGGTGGGGCCACCCCTGCGGGCAAGAGAGGCAGGGCAGGGGGCACGCACAATAGCACCTGCCCCTGGGCCCATGCCCCCACTCACTTCTCAGGCCTCATGTCCGTCTGGGGGACGCTGACCTTGTCCACAAACTTGCCGAACCCAATGGTGTAGTCGCTGGTGAGCTTGCTCAGGACCTGGGCTGGGAATCAACAGGACAGAGAGAGGACGGTTGCACCCAGCACTCCCACACAAAGACCCAGGGGCCCCTGGAGGGTCAGGAGGAGGCTGGAGGAGGAGGGAGAAGGCCACCTCTGGTTAACATATAGTTTGCTGGCACTGGTGAGTCAAAGGGACTCAGTGGGAGGCGGCCCCAGGTTACTCATCCAGCACTTAAGGGAGCAGTTCCGAGAGTTGCCTCCAGCTCTGTGAGTAGGTTGGAGCCATGAGACGCTCTTTTTGTCATGGCTTCAGTGCCTGCCAGGGCCTGGAACCTCCCCCTGGGAATGGTGTTCTGGGGCACCCCACATGTTTGTCTTGCCCTTTGGGATGGGTAAAGCTGTCCGGGGCTCTGGCCACCCAGCAGGTGTTCAGCCCCAGCCCTGCATCATCCGCGCAGGCCCAGCCGTACCCAGGTTCGAGCCCATCTGCTTGAGGTTGTCCAAGTCATCGGACATGGAGTTGGAGAAGTCCATGAGGATGTACAGGTCTACGGGACTCTCCAGGGGCTCGAACACCTGGAGGTCGAAGTGCCTCTCCTCGCCTGGCCGCAGCCGGACGTACATTCCCTGGGGGGACACCTGACTGCGGTGTAGCTTCTGGTCGATCTGGCTCTCCTGCACCCAGGGAAGGAGACACTGGCTGGAGGGCTACTCCAAGAGCCTGGTGGCGGGCTCTGCCCTGCTACTGGTCCCCCAGGGCCGGCCATCTGGAGAGCTCCCCGTAGCCCCCAGCCCTGCCCCCACATACCTCTGTGATCTCAAAGCTGCTCTCCATGACCACCAGACTCTCCCGCCGGCAGCCAGCAGCCAGCAGCTCCTCTGGCGTGTTGCAGCGCCGCTCTGTGAACAGCTAGCCAGAAGCAGCTGTGGTTGGCAGGGGCAGCACCTGTCCACCAACCTGCCCTCCTCCTTGATCTACCTCCCCATAGTAGCCCTGACCCTTGCCTCTTTTCCCACACCCGCCGGGGCCAGGGCAGGGCCAAGGGTGTGGCCAGAGCCAAGGAGAGGGTGTGGCAAGGCAGGGCAGGGGTGGCCTTGGCTGCCCAGCAGTTCACCTCATCTATGCAGTAGGCACAGTCCTTATCCACGCGGATGCACTCCGTGCAGCTCTTCACTTGGGCCTTCTTGCAGCGATTGGCTGGTGGGCAAGGGGCACAGACATATGGGTGGGGTCCCTTGCCACCTGCCATCCTCACCGGAGAGGGCTGGGGTTCCCTCCCCTTTCAGAGAACAAAAGAGGGACCATGGGTTTTGAAAACTAGCAAAACCCGGGTCTCAGCCTTGGAGACCTCCATCTGGGTCCACAGGGAGGAACCTGGCATACTGGGCTGCCGGTCATTCTGTGGTCAGAACACCCCGGCCACATCCTTTGCCGCTTCCCGCCTGAGGCTGTCCCCTGCCCCGGTTGGTGTCCTTTCCAACACAGCTCGTGCCTTCCAGTGAGGATCCTCCCGGGAAGCTCGCTAGCTCCTCTGTCTGTATCCCTGGTCTCTAACACAAGGCTCAGCACACTGTTGGTCTTCAGGAAATGAATCTATGGTTTTGCAAAGGTGACTTGGATTCCCTCTTGTTTGTTCAATGTAAAAACCACAATAAGGATCCTACTATGTGCATCCACTGTGGCATCTCCTCAAGCGACAGGCAAGCTTTATTGGGCAGCCACTCCAGCCACTTCTCCTTGGGGACACTCTGAAGGCAGGTCAGTGGCCTCACACTCCTCCTGTCCCCATAAGCTTTCCTCCCTCTTTGAGGCCTTTGCATCTCTTGACAGCTGTCCCAGTTCTCTGGGAGCTCCACAGCCCCACTGCCCCCTTCCCAGTGGTTGGTCATGACGTCCCCATGTGCAGGGCACAGGATCCCAAGTTCTCCATTCCTGGGTGGTGGAGAGGGAGAGAGGCCAGTGCCATGGAAGGTGTGCCCTGGCCAGCACGGCCTTCAAAGACTCACCTGTGATCCCAGGAAGGCTGGCACTCAGCAGGGCTACCAGCAGCAGCCTGGCCCACAGGCTGGAACGTGGTCCTGCCATTCTCTTCCTCCTGTAGAATGGCAGCAACTGTCAGCTCCCAGAACCCCCCACGCCACGCCACACCACACCACGCCATGCCTCGTGTCACCAGACGCTCTGCAGGTCTGCATCCTGCCCGAAACAAGCCCCTTCTTGTCTCTGGGGACTCCGTGCTCTGAGCCTGGCCCCAGGCCAGGTCTTTTGGAGCTGGCCACCTACACGGCAGGCAGGGACAGACTCCCCCAACCAGGTTACACCCTTATCCCTTCAGCCCTGGCCCACCTGCCTGGGGCCCAAGCAGGAAGCTGGCCTCCCTATTCTGGACTCCTGCACCCCTGCCTTCCACCCCACCTCCACGTGCCCTGTCAGGACAAGTTTCTGGAGCTCCTAAGCAGCTCAGCACGCCTCCTTCCTTCTGCTCACTTCCCAGGGGCCCCTGTGGGTTTTTGCTTCACTTTTTTAATTGAAAAGTCAGATACACAGAGAGAAGGAGAGACAGAGAGGAAGCTCTTCCATCCAATGATCACTCCCCATGTGGCCACAACGGCTGGAGCTGAGCCGATCCGAAGCCAGGAGCCTCCTCCAGGTCTCCCATGCGGGTGCAGGGTCCCAAGGCTTTGGGCCATCCTCAACTGCTTTCCCAGGCCACAAGCAGGGAGCTGGATGGGATTAGAACCGGTACCCATATGGGATCCCAGCGTGTGCAGGGCAAGGGCCTTAGCCGCTAGGCTACCACACCGTGCTAGGCCCGCTTTGCTTCACTTGAAACCACCCCAGCTCATCAGTGACTGCCAGGACAGGCACAAGCAGCCCTGAAGCCCCCAGAGGGAGAGAAGCCAGCAGCCTGTGGGGAGCCCAGGGCCTACAGAGCAGCCGGTCAAGGGCAGGAGCCAGATCTCCCAGGCTGCTGGTCTTCCCCTCTGGAAATCTTCCTCAGCCCCTGGCTGTGGGGCAGTGGGGGATGGGGTGTGGATGGGGCCAGAGGTCCCTACAGGGCAAAGGGCAGGAAGGCTCTCCTTCCCACACATGGGATCCTCTTACTGTTGCCAGCGGCCTGGGGAGCAAGCCCTGAGCTGGTCAGGAAGGCTCCAGGGAAGTGTTTCTTGCTGTCTTGGGGTGTGGGCACCACACCCACATGCTACACAATCTTGGGCCTCCCCAGTGGCACCATTAGCCAGGCAGGTGTGGGCACCGGAGGGACAAGCCCAGCTCTTACTCATCGCCCCGAGCGCCGGGCTGCACACAGTGCTGCATACATGCGGTCCTGCAGCAGCACGCACCCCACACTGTGCAGGACTGCGACACCCGCACTGGAGCTCGTGGTCAGCAGGGAGAGGGGCTGCTTCCCAGACCAGGGGGAGGGGACAGTAAAAGCTGTGGGGACATCCCAATCCAACGGCCAGCATGAGGAAGTCCTTGACAGGTTCCAGGCAGTATAGATGTCACATTTAGCCTCCACATTATTCTAGGAGCCTGTAAGATGGCAGACAGGAGCTTGGAACATTTTCTTAGATTCAGCTAAAAGCTGAATGGAAGGCGTGGCCATGGTGGGCTGGGCCAAGCTGGCAGGATCCCCCCTTCCCACCAAGCAACCAGAACTAGGTCCCTGAAGGATATGACTGCCACTCTGGCCTCCACTCAGGGACACACACATGAACTCCACATCTCAGGGCTGCCCTGTTCCCTCCTCCTCCACGGGACTCCCCACACATAGTACACCAGCACCTGCCCTCCTCACCCCCAGCTCTCTCCTGCTTACCCACCTCCTGGCCCAGGGTCTTAGGGGACCACACCCCTCCCTTGCTGCCTCCCAGATGCAAACTCTGTCCAGGGGCAGCAACGGTTGGGGCACTTGCACCCAGCCCTGGTGCTTGAGGTGGGGCACCCCTTAGGGATAGGAGGAATCCTGCCCTGCCTGGGAGTAGAGAAGGGTACCCTCCCCCTCCCCCCCGCCCCAGCACACACCAGTCACACCTGGGGCTGAGCAGGTGGGACAGGAGGCTGACATTGGGGGGTTACAGAACAGGGCACCTACGCAAGGCTGAGCCAAGTCAGGAGAGCTTCCTGGAAGAAGGGTGTCTGGGGCCGAGGAGAGCAGGCGTGGGTTTGGCCCCGAAGGCCTGCGGCACCACACCCCGCACTGTTTGCCTGGCAGGGTGCTGTTCCCAGAGGGGCCCAGCCCAGTAGGGCAGCCCCTGCTGCGGCCCACTTCTCCCCCACACGCCGACCCCAGCTACCTCCGCCCAGAGTCTTAAGGACTTTCCTTCTCCTGTACCACACTCTCCCCTTCCCGGGGGTGGGGTAGGTGGAGGAGTGCCTCTGCTCCCAACTGCCCCTGGGCACAGCCGTGCAGGCTGGGCACCTGCCCTGGGCAGTCCCGCCATAGGGAAGCAGGGCCTGCCAGTCTTCAACAAGAGGAAGGGGAAACAAAAGCGCCGACTAGTTTGCCTACGCGGCTGCCCAGGTTCGGGTGGGCAGCTAGTGTGTCCTCGCCGCTCCGGGAGCCCATGTGGGCACCGGGGACTAGCGGGGGGCGGCTTTGCGCCCCTTGCTGTTCCCCCTACCCGCGCTGCCCCAGGTGCCCCAGGCCGGCGGCTGGACGTACCTCGGCGCGGACTCGCGCGCTCGGGAGCCGGGAGCTGCAGGCGCTGGAGCGAGCCCGGGGGTCCGGAGCGCGGGCGGCGGAGGGCAACGGCGGCGCGGCGGCGGCGGCGGCGGCGGGCGGGGAGCGGGCAGCACTTTATGGGGCGGGCAGCAGGTAAGAAGGAGGCGCTGGTGAGTCAGGAGCGCCGCATTCCTGCGTACAGCGCGCACCTGTCGGGGCAGGAGCCCGGCCGCCGCCGCCACCGCCGCAGCCGGATCCGCCCCCCGGAAAGGGCTGCGGCTCCCCCGGCGCCGGCTCTGAGCCGAGACCCGCTGCGGCGGGGGCCCAGGGAGGAGCCGCCCCCTCTCGCTCCAGAGCAACCCCGGGCGCGGAGCCTGGGCTCCAGGCTTCAGTGCCCGGACAGGGTCGGGACTGGTGCCTTAGTCCCCTGCAGCTCCCAGCTCTTGGACTGCGAGCCACCACGGAGCTGTGCCACTGCTGCCCGACGGGCGCCAGGCCACTGCGGGTGCGTACCGCCCCGTCCTTCTCGTGGCAAGGATGGGGTCCGGTAGGTGCCGCAGGTCTCAGCTCGACTCTGCTCCTCGGCGGGTCGTCTCAGCCTGCCGCTCCCGCCCCTCCACTGGGTCAGGCGAGAGGTTTGAACCAGCGGCTTAACCTGCTTCAGAAGTGAATAGCACTCGCGGAGACGCCAACATGCCAGCAGGAACGGGCGCTTGGCGACAAGCTGGTGCACAGATGTGAGCCTTGGCCAGGCTGCCTCCAGGCTGCTGTTGTGCAGCACGAGGGGGCAGGTGGCCCTGTGCCTTGTTTTCTCAGTCTCACCTCCTAGCCAGGCCCAGAGAATGCTCCACCCCTCGCAGCTCCAGGCTGGTCCTCTGTTTGGCAGGCCCTTGGCCTCCTAACCCTTGCCTCTCTGAAGACCATGTTCGCTGTGCCCAGAGGGCCTTCCTTTCCTTGGGGCTTAACCATTCCTTTGCGGATGGTTGCTACCTGGGCTGGAGAATGGTCACCACATTGGATTGTGGCACCTGAGGACAGACATTTATGCACAGCCCCTGGTGCGCAATAGGTGACCAGTAGAAGTGTGGCTGAACCGGGCTGGGCGGTGCCTTCCCTGGACCCCAGCAGTTTCAGCTACAAGCAGATCCAGGTTCTGCCCATGCCAGGACGTATTGGCTGCACACATGGTCGGAGTCTAGGGCAGGAGCTCTGCCTGGGGTCTGCTCTAGGGGAGCTGGGCTGCTCCAGCAGGTGCCCTGTCCTGCCACATCCAGCCTGCACTAGAGGGGTCTGGCTCTGTCACTGGCACCCCTAGGTAGGCTGGGGTGGACCGTCTACATCTGCTAGCTGGAGGGGGGTTGGCACTCCTTCCTGGAGAAGACCTGGGCTCCCAGGGAGGGGTTTGGTGGCTTAGTCCCCTCTGGGCTCAGTGGCCCCTCCCTTCCCTTCTGAAATTGGTGTGAGGTGGGGGAAGTTGGGGACTGGGGCCCTGCCGCTGCAGAGAGCTCCCTGAGGAGGCTTTGCTGAGTCAAACCAGGGGTCCCTGTGGATTCCTGGGGTCCAGTAGGCTGTTAGGAGCCTGGGGAGAAGGTGCATGACCTTCCGTGAAAACCCCAGGCCCATATGACAGAGGGACTATATGTGGGTTTGTTGGGAAAGCCGTATCTAGCTTCCCTGGTCCTCCCAAGCAAGCTGCTGACCCCCGAAGGGTTAAAGAGCACGCTGCGGCATGTTCATTGTTGGAAGCAAAATAAGAGCCTGCTCTCTCATTCTGCAGCTTCAGGGCCAGGCTGGCTCCAGGGGGCTCCCTCATCTAAGCCCTCCCAGAGAGAGCTGAGGCCCCAGGAACCTCAGACCCTCCTCCCATCTGCCTGCACCCCTCCCCAGGCCAAGCTTGTTTGTGTGTCACATTGCTGGAGCATCTGAGACAGAGGGTGCAGCAATAAGTGGGTTGAAATGCCTGCGGGCTTCACGCAGTGCCATGTTTCAACTCAAGGGGCCTGCAGGATGTGCCTGCCTGTTCTAGAGGGTGTAGCTGAGCCACAGATTCCTGGGCTTGAAGATGTACCTCCCATAAACAAGGAGAATCCTGGCCAGGCCAGGCTAGGTGTGAGCCACGAAGTCCAGCGGCCAGTGTCCACCACACGCCCTGACTGAGGGCAGTGGCTTCTCAGGTGAGACTCGCTGGGCTTGTTATCTCCCCATATATTTATATTTACAGAGTTGCAGATACTGTGGCACTTCAACACTCCAGCATCGCCTTCCCAGAAGTAGTAAGCACCTCATTAAATAAGCTTGCAATTCAGTTCATATTCAGAATTTCTTGCTGTTCCCAAAATACCCAATTTAAAAAAAAAAATAAAATTGAAGAAAAACTTTGAGCCTGGGACTGGTACTGTGGCATAGCAAGCTAAGC